ATTTCTAACATACAACTAAATGCAACGAAACCCCAAACACAGTTTAGAAAACGAAGCTAAAAAGAGACAAGCTATTGCTTCTTCACACAAGGAAATACTTCTAACATGTTCTCAAGGACGTTACTGACTTTAACGTCCCGCGTATATGCTTCATACAGAAACCCATATAACACCATTCCCTTGAATTCATAAGGCGGACATCAAAATAATCCCATCCTATCAACTTTCGACATACCTTACTTCGACGTCATCGCATCCCTGGGATCCGTAAAAAGAGCCCTGTCAACCCGTCCTGCAACGCGCGCATGCTGCCTAAAAAGTAAACGAGATAGGTTTAGTGTTTACCAGAATATAAAATAACTCCATTGCTTGGAAGAACCTTGGAGCGTGTTGAGGGTTGTTGACAAATAAGGATTTCAAATACGGTATTTGAGTTGAGCCGGAAAGGGAAATAAAAAACGGACCTGCAGAGCCCAAAACGCAGCTAATAATAAGAGACTAGCAGGTATTTTCTGGGCATCGCAAAGCATAGCCACGCACTATGTTAGAGTCATTGAAATTTGCCAAGCAGGTTGCATGGTGCAAGGTAGAAAGATCGGTGTGAGATATACACAAAAGTAGCAGCAATCTCACCGCATATCAACATTACAAATCATCAGACTCATGAATTAAACGGCATCTCCGTGAATAAAAATAAAAATAGAAATAAAATCCAAATTGCCTCGATGTTAGCTAAACTCTGCATCCAGTGATTTGTCATTATATTATTTGTTCTTCTGAAGTCCGGTCTTCATAAGCGGGCTTTCTAGCACCCTGTTCCAGTCGTGTACCATGGTTGTATTCGCGATGCTGCATCTTACCTCGGCGCCGGCTCGATTTCTTATCTCCAACTCGTAGGTTTGAATAGCTGACGATTGATTTCGCGCGGAGGATAATGCCTCGACGAGTTTCCTGGCATCGGGAAAATCGAGTGTTTAGCTCTTGACCTCGTTCTTGGAGGGTAGAACAGCTGAAGATGGGGCGGCCGCAGGAGACACGAGACTCACGGAAAGTCATAGGACGCGCTGCATCACCTGCTAGAGTCACTCGACCGTCCATCGTATCCCATGTATGTTCTGGTAAACTTGGGTCCCATACGGCCATATCAAAGTACCAGGCTGGCTGGTCGTCTGCCACGCATTCGAAGGCACTCTTCCAGGGTTCTGTGAATCCTTCCGAGAGAAATTTCACTTGAAACGATCTTTCTTTGTTTCCATAGGTTTTTGCTTCCTTGAGTTGTTCCTCAAGGGGCGAATTCCAAGAGATGTAGAAGAAGAACGACCAATATTCTGGCTTGTCGACCGCTGGTGCACCCTGAAGTACAAAGAACGCATACATATTACCTGGATGAGTCGCCGCGATGTATAAGGGGTGGAAGGAGCAAAGAAAAAGCGCCTGCTCTCGTGTGTACTTGGCCTGGACAAAAGTCGATACGTAGGGGAGACGAAGTGGTGCTGCCAGATCGGGGCTGAGAATTACCTCCCTCACGGTAGACCTCGAGCCATCTGCCCCAATTACCAACCTTCCCGTCATTTGTTCTGTATCTTCAAAAACGGCCGTCACACGACTTCCGTTATGCTCAAATACGATATTCTTCAATCGCTTGTTCTACCTGATGTCTAGACCTTTGTATAGTAGAGCACGGAGTTTCGAGCGACCGAGTCGATGGAAATCTGGAGATGGAAGCGTAGTAATTACTTTGCTAGTCCTGCTATTGAAAAATTTAAGTGTATCAAAGGGCTTCCTTGGGGTATTTGGATCACCTTGAGTCGACCGAAGAGCTTGAACATCAGAGTCTGGACTCTGGAATAAGAGACTTCAGGATAGGCATTCCCCAGTGGAGTCCCATATTCCAGTCTCGCTCACCAGGAGAGACCATCTCGGGCTTCTTCTCAAATACTACAACTGGAATGCCCGCCTTTTGATTAGCTGGGCTCTGTATGAATAGAGGTTCGACATACCTTCTTCAGGCCATGCACAATCGCGAGGCCGGTGCAGCCTGAAGACTGTCAGCATTGGCATAGTATTCGACGTCCCATAACAGCTTGTTTGGCGTAAATAGCCCTCCCCGATCCAATTATAATTACTGCAAGTCCAGCAATAGATGTCTGTGGTTGTAGAGTCGCCCGGGTAAGGCAGGCGCTATCGCATGGACATCAGCCGTGCTGTATCTTACTCGACGAAGAGGAAGGCCAACAGCATCTAGAGGTTGTCAGGATGGTAATATATACATACCTAGGTACCTATATATATGAAGGAAACTGCAAGAAGAGCGGATACTTTGGCTTGGGCAGGGTTGGAGAGGGGAGCAAGACCTGCATGGACGATCGCCTACCTAGGTACTTTATCCATCCCCAGTAAAGAATGATGGCATAACACCACAATTTATGAACAAATCAAATTTGGCATGAATGATCATATTCAAACTCTGCGATGATCAATATAATTTCTTTTGTCTGTCAAGAATCTTATCTCTAGTCATTGAATTCAAGCTGAGGGAATTGACGGGAGAAAGAGTCTTTCGAGCATTTCTTTTCTTCTGAGGGGTCCGTTACTTCTTTCTAAAACATGTGCCTACCTTACCTAGGACCACAAACGTTGCCCTACTGATCATCCGTTGGATGCTTGAAAGTTCCTTGATATCAATTCGTTTTTGCGCAAGGTCCGCAGTCGAAATGCTTTGTTCATTCCCAGTCAGATGTCCGGGTGTGATCAGTGGAATGGAACGTGCGCAATTTGCTGTACTGTACTGTATCCTCTCCTCTTTTCAGATCTACATTTATCTCAACAGCTTTCAAAAGGCTTCTAAAAGGCAAAGTTCGCTTCATTTTATGTGAACATCATTTTGGAGAACGACCAGTAACGAAGCTAATACAGCCTCGTTCTCTCATTTTCCAACAACACCAATCTCACTCATATCTTGACCTTGACATTGCGTTGTCAGACTGGGGTGTGTCAAGCTGGACAACAAAGCATCTATGCAAGACGATCCAGCCGGTACTTCTCCGGGCACCAGAAGTTATGACAGGGGCGCCATGGGGACGAGCTGTTGATTTCTGGAATTTCGGCTGTCTGGTGACAGGTGATTTATGGGCAGTGCATGTTCAGCGGCAATACTGAGGCTAGGGAATACAGCTCTGCTTGACATTTGGAGGAAATGAATAAACTCCTCGGTCTGTTTCCGAAGAGCTTGTTGGAGGAGGGAGATCTGGAACTTGTGAAGGATCTGTTTAGCGACGAGGGGAATATAAGAGAGCCGAAGATTACTTCGTTTGTAGGCTTGGACGTCCGGTTTTCTGACATGCAGGATGGTACTCGAGAGAACTTCACTGCACTCGTAAAAGCTTGGCTGGATTTTGATCCTTAAAAAAGGAATGAGGTATGAAGGAATGGTTAGTGGCAAAGGAGGCTGCGGGCGTCAACATCGAGGGGGAATGGGAACCTCAGTGAGGGATGTCCCACCATCTTCAGAATCCTGAGCATCTGGGCTACAGAAAGTTCTTCACTGTTCTTCTTTTACAAGTTAATCTTTTAAAATGTCCTCTCTCTGTGTGGTTTAAAAAGTACATGGCTTTTAGTTTTAGAGTTCCCCGTTAGGTCTAAAGTAGTAACCACTTAGTGTACCGAAGTTTGCTCTACATTTATATTTTTGAAGCGGATCGCATGAAAAGCTTCGTTTTCGCACTTTGCATTCCTTATTTCCTGTTAATCTCTATGCTCATAGTCTCCTACCGCTGATTTCAAAAGACACGCATAGAACGCTCCGCTTGACTTCCTCAAGTTCACCGGTGAGTACATCCAACCCCGAGTATCCTTCTATTACTCCCCTCCACTATAATTTGTATAAAAAAATGGGGGTTAAAACTAACAGTCTTCCAGTCACAATGAACCACCATACCTTCACCCACTCCCTCCTCGCTCTCGAGCTCCCCGACAACACCCAAGCCCTATTCACCCAACAACCAAAAACCCCCGATACATTCCATTCTTTCCGCCATCTACCAACAGAACTAAGACTCCAAATCTGGCGATCCGCTTTCCCACGCAGTCGGAAAGTATGTATTTCGAAAGAGAAGCGAGTAAACGGAGCCCCGTCTACGCTTTTCATTAACCGTGAATCTCGGGATGAGACTTTGAGGTACTATCGCGTTATCAAGGGACGAGGGACGCAGGTCTTGTGTTTTCGTCCTAACTACGATGTTTTGTTCTTTGATCTCGGACATACGACTTTTAAGAATAATGGGGGGCTTGTGGTACTTCATGCACTTGCTACGAATAACCAGTAAGTTAAATATAGCCCCGATATATTCTATACTGCTCCTATGAAACAACAGAAAAAAAGAAGGCCATGCTAATTTCTCCACCCCAACCTCTAGGAATCCATTTAAAGACATAACGCATCTAGAAATACGCTCCTGGACGCCTGCTCACTCAGTCTTCATCCAAGTCTGGGCTATGGATTTCTGCGAGGACCTGGACCCGACGTTCTGCTGGATGGATGTCTTTCCGGATCTGCGACGCTTGCGGTTTGTTATTGATCAATGGAGCGATAGGTATAGGGTGCTGCGGCATGCGGAGATTAGTGACGGGAGGGAGTATATAGAAGATAGGTTGGGGAAATTCATGGCGTGGGATGAGGATGAGGAGAAGATTAAAGTTTGTGTGAGACGGTGGGGAGAGGAATGCTGGGGTAAGCTGAAGGGTGGGAATTGCAGATAGGATGAAACTACTGGGAGGATCAGACAGGGCTCCAGTACAATTTAAACAGGGAAGAGAAAAAGCTGAATTGGATTGGATATAACATTGCTGGTAGTAGCAAAACAGTGATTTATAAAGCATGTCACGTGACACCATGCGCCAAGACGTAAAACCTCCTGGAAGCTTTCCAATCTACCCCCACCCACACACATCCTCTCCCCATTCCAAACCCCACCCCCCTTCCTGCGCACATACAAACCACCATGGCAGAACCACCACACAAACGCGCACGCCGTCCAGACAGCAAGCAAATGTGGGACGAAGCGGACCGCCGCGCCCTCCTGCCCTCGCGCGAGCGAGACGAGCCCCGACGCGAACGACGCGACGATAGAGATCGAGATCGGAACCGTAGATATCGCAGTCGATCACCACGCGATTCTAGAGGTGGGGATAGAGATCGGGATCGGAGGAGAGATGATAGGGATGCGCGAGGTTCGGGGAGGGGGCGTGATAATAGGGATATGAATGGTAGGAGAGAGGATGATAGGGATAGGGCGAGGGATAAAGATAGAGGTAAGCTTTTCCAGCAGGCAGTGTTTTCTGGCGATTTAGTGTTTCGACAGAGATCTAATGGTATTTCTCAAGATGGGGGACGGGAGAAGCCGCGGTTGAGATCGAGGGAGAGGGAACGGGATTCTGGGAGACGGGTTACGAGGAGTCGGAGTCCGAGACGAGAGAGAGATCGAGATGAGAGGATAGATGGGGCAAAGGAGAAACATGCTGAACATGAGGTGGAGAAAGAAAAGGAGGATACGACGGCGTTGAAGGTCGACGACGAGCCTCTGAAAAGAAGGACAGCGACACCTCCAGTCAGCTTTAAAGTTGGCACAGTACCGGCCGCACAAGATCACGACCGAATGGATGTAGATCCTGGACAGAAAAGCAAGGGCAAAGGAAAGAAAGGGAAGGGCAAGAAGAAGAGTGTGGAAGACGACGATGACGAGCTTGTTGTTGAGGATTCTGGTATGGCTGCTATGCAGGCTATGATGGGCTTTGGCGGGTTTGGCACTACGCAGAATCAAAAGGTTGCTGGGAATGATATATCGGCGGTCAGGAAGGAGAAGAAGACGGAGTATAGGCAGTATATGAATCGGGTTGGAGGATTTAATAGGCCTTTGTCCCCGTCGAGAGAGACATAGCAGGTTATTGTCTACGAATAGAGAGTGTACGGAGTTATATGAGCGAAGGACTAGGACTTGGGTGTACGGCAGTTGCGCAGAGGGACACTTTCTCTCATGAGGTTCGGAATGGAACATACGTGGCATCAACTGATATCCAGGCATTGAAGAATGAATAAATTCATACATAATACCACAATAAAACAAGAATTCAGGAACAGATGTCCTCAAAAGGCTATTGTAGGATATTATGAGCTGCTAAATGGCATTTTCCTAGCCTTCCGTACAGCCTCGCGCGACAGGCTGAATGCAACGCAGCCTATTCGTCAGTTCCCGCAACGGTGTTCTCAAGCCCTGTCCCTCTGCAACCCTCACCTACAACCCAAACCCCTCCCCACCACATTAAAACCCCTCGAGCTCCCCCATCAGCTATCCCCCAAGCTGATGTTCTTCGAATTGGAGCACCCAACATGTTTTTCAAGAGCTGGCTAAGCAGGGCTGCCCTCGCAGGAGCTACTTTGGCCGCGGCTGACGATTCCGCCATTCTGTCCCAAGAACATGCGCGGGAAACAAACCAGAGCTTGTTATGGGGTACCTATAGGCCGAATGTGTATTTTGGGGTGAAACCCAGGATTCCGAATAGTTTTATGAGTGGGTTGATGTGGTCCAAGGTCGATGATTATCAAGATGTGCAGTTAAGTAGGTGGCCTCTTCTGCTGGGGGGGCTGGAGCTTGTGCTAATCGTGCGTGTGGGCAGACTTTAGACATACTTGTGAGCAAGGAGATGGCATGAAAGGGTATGGATGGGACGAATATGATGCCCGGGCGGGTGGCACGCAGACGATATATGACGAGCAGAATGGGATTGATATCACCACGATGTTCGTCAAGATACCTGGGGGAAGCCATGGTGGTAGCTGGGCTACGAGAGTTAGGGGCCAAGTGAGGAAAGATTCCCCACCGGCTTTGAAGTCGACAGTTGTCTTCTATGCGTCTCTGGAAGGGTTGGGTAGCCTGGAGGTTGAGAATGAGACAGATCCATTGGGATATGAGGGAGATGTCACTTTGGCTGGCAACTCTGCTGGCTTGGGAGACTACAAATTGGTTATTACTGAAGGTCGAGGATACCATCCTAAGCATCCCCATAAGTCTTACCTCGACAAGCCCCTAGACCGAACGATTGTCAACTCTCAAACCATAGCTAGAGAAATTCTTTGGCAGACGAAGCCAATTCTGTTCAAAAGCTTGAAGGAGCAAATCGACGAATATCTGGCGGAATATGGCGAGCAAAACCCACCTCCTCCACCCCAGGCGTATACAATCAAGAATGATGCCGGAACTGGAAATTTGCACTTGATCCAGAAGGTATTTGAAGGAGATTTCGAGTTTGATATTATTTTCAACAGTGCTTCTTCGCCCAAGGAATATTTCAGTCAAGATGTCACACAATTGATCAATCAAAACTCCAAGAACTTTTGGGCGAGATTCGTCTCGACGTTCGACCCTCAGCCGCCATTCGATGTGGAGAATCTGCAAAGGTTTTCGGCCAACATGTTTTCTAATCTGCTTGGTGGGATGGGGTACTTTTATGGAGACTCGGTTGTTGATCGATCATATGCTCCAGAGTACGACGAGGAGAATGAAGGGTTTTGGGAAGATACTGCTGAGGCTCGAGGAAGAAACGAGCAGCAGCTTGAAGGCCCGGCGGAGTTAACCACTCTCGTCCCTTCAAGACCTTTTTTCCCAAGAGGCTTTCTATGGGATGAAGGTTTCCACCTCATGCCAATTGTTGACTGGGATCTAGATCTGACTCTTGAGATTGTAAAGAGCTGGTTTAATCTTATGGACGAGGATGGATGGATTGGTCGGGAGCAAATTCTCGGTGCCGAAGCACGAAGCAAAGTACCAGCAGAGTTCCAAACACAATACCCGCATTACGCCAACCCCCCGACTCTGTTCTTTATTCTCGATCAGTTTGTGAGCCAACTTGGAGCCTTGAATGGTACCACTCCTGCCAGGGAAAAGCTCACACCTCAATTGAATTCGAAACATCTCCAGAATCAAGATCTCGCACTCGAGTATCTCAGAGACTTGTATCCAAAGCTTAAGAAACACTACTACTGGTTCCGCAAGACCCAGTCTGGCGACCTGAAATCCTACGACCGCGACGCCTTCAGCTCAAAGGAAGGCTATAGATGGCGAGGCCGTACCCCTCAACACATACTGACCAGTGGTCTCGACGACTATCCACGTCCACAGCCTCCACATCCAGGAGAGCTACACGTTGACTTAATCTCATGGATGGGTATGATGACGAAGTCTCTAAAGAACATCGCTTCCCTTCTCCAAAACGACGAGGACGTTGCCGAACTAACAACCATCGAGACGGCCATTCTCCACAACATCGACGACCTCCACTGGAGCGACAAAGAAAAGACCTACTGCGATGCAACGATCGACGACTTTGAAGAAAACGTCCTCGTCTGCCACAAAGGCTACATCTCCCTCTTCCCTTTCTTGACCGGGCTCCTGGATCCCAAAAGCAAGAAACTAAACCACGTGTTAAAACTACTGGGTGACCCGGAGGAGCTGTGGAGTGAATATGGTATCCGCAGTTTAAGTAAGAAGGATGAGTTTTATGGCACGGGTGAGAATTATTGGAGAGGTCCAGTTTGGATGCCGATTAATTATCTTGCGCTTACACAACTCCTCGTATGTCTCTTTCCCTACCCCTATCCCATTCATATCCTTTTCCCCCATCCTATTTCTTTTAACATATTTGTCCATATTAACACATCCCCAACAGAAATATGCACAAACCCCCGGACCATCCCAAGACCTCGCCACAACCCTATACTCCACACTCCGCCTCAACCTCATTAAAACCGTCTTCGACGCCTGGACCGAAACAGGCTTTGCATGGGAACAGTATAACCCTGAGACGGGCAAGGGGCAGCGGACGCAGCATTTTACCGGCTGGACTAGTCTCGTGGTTAAGATTATGGGGATGCCGGATTTGAGCGGTGGGGAGTTTGAGGTTAGTGGGAAGGGCAAGGGGTTTACGCTGGGGAGTGTGATTGGTGGGGAGAAGGATGAATTGTGAATTTGGTGAGGGAGGGGGGATTGTATATTTGTTTTTTGGGTATGAATCCACAGTGGTTTATCTGTGGGTAGAGTAAAAGTATGGTATTTATTTGTATTGTGGTATATACCTAGGAAATCGAAGCGAAACGAATGGAAGGATTGAAGATATACCTTGAGTGTCGCAAACTAACCATATGGATAAACGTGTATACGGGGACAAGAGCTCTTCATGTTCGTAGTTAAGATCGAATAAAATGTTTGTGGAGATTGCTGAGACTTTCAGCCTTAAATCTTTTGACAAACAAATACCAATTAGAGATAAAACCACCACTCCATTCTATTAATGTTATAGCTTTGCTTGAGCATTCGTTTGCCAGGAAAATAAATATACCAATCGGATGCTCGATATCGATGTCAACGTCGTGGAAATAAGCTTCCGGGTCCACCAAGCCCATCCTCCAAGCGTTTATGCCTAGACCTCATAGCGCTCCGTTCCGTCCTGCATAAAATTCAAAATCCATCTACAGAATCCTTTTCATAAAAATGGCACCCTCACCACTCCAGCAGAGAAGAACACATAACACGCTTCTCTTTCAGAAGTTGCTGAGTCTAAGAGATGGAGCGAGTCCGTTTACGTTGGTGCTGGATACGTTGGAGCAGGGTGGTGGGTGTGTGGTCATGGAATTTGTGAGGCGGGCAAAGGTAACTGGGGCTTTTTGTTTTGTTTGATTTCGTATTGCGCTGCTTGTTTTCTCTTGTTGTGCTTCTACTGTTGGGGAAATTGAAGATCTCTCTCTTTACCGTCGCGTGCTGCAAGGTGGATTTTATTTGCTCTAGTTGAGTATCCTCATCCTCATCCAAATCTTTTATAGGTGTCACGTGACATGGATTATCCGAAATTCTGCTTTTGCTTTTACTTTTTGTTTGGGAGAGAAGGTCTGGGGAACATTTGCTGACGAGGAATGGAATTAGATCTCCAAATCTAAAATAATCTTTATATCCTACGCAACCCTGCGCAAAAAACTCTCTTTCGACCCCGATATCTTCCTCTCCGCCCGCTCGAAACCTCTCTCTACACTACGAACGGAGATCCTCTCTCACCTCCCGCTTCCCCCATCAGCTACAAATACCAGTCCAACAAGTAAGCATATCTCTCTCCCCCTCCCTCTCTATCCCATCAGATCACATAAAAGTGAAGTACGAGCTAACGTTTAGAACTTCAAAGAAACACTCATAATAATCGACACTCTAACAAACTTATCAACAACCCACCTCGCGCACCTCCCAGCCTTCCTCTCCTCCCTGCTCACATCCTCCACAACCTCCCTCCTCTGCACCCTACACACGGACATCCCGCTCCCCTCCCCATCAACCCCCTACTCCGCCGATGCACTTATAACGCTCACGCACCTCGCCACGGCCATCTTAAGCGTATCGTCGTTCGCGCATGTGCTGGCGCGCAAGATGGCAAGGGATAAGAGTGTGCAGGAGCCTGTGTTTGGGCTGTGGGAGAAGCGAGAAGGCGTGCTTGTGGGGTTAAGGGGCGAGGGGGAGAGTGGTGCTGCTGCTGTAGTAGTGAGGATGGAGGTGCGGAGGAGGAGTGGACGGGGGGTACTGGAGGATTTCGTGCTCTTGCCACCATCTATCTCTCCCACTGCCTCTCCCCCTTCCTCTCTACATCAGCCCCCCAATGCAAATACAACTCCCAAAGACAAACTCTCAACAACCCTCCTCCTCGACGAACACCCCCTCTACACATCTACGCCCCTCATTCCCACCCAATCCACAATAAACACAAACACAGAAAACGAAACCGACGACGTAGAAACGACATTCAGTCTCGGTCTAACAGAGAAGCAGAAACGCGATCGTGAGGCTGTCGTGCTGCCGTATTTTGATGCGCAGAAGGAGGGAGGGGGTAATATGGAGGGGGGACGTATTTTGTATGATATGGGGGCTGAGGATCGGGAGGACTTTGATGATGAGGAGGATGAGATTTGAGGAGGGGTGCGGTGCGGTGTTGGTGATGTGGAAATGAAGGCTGGTCTAATGATGAGACGTATAATATGATGCGAGGTAGGAAAGTGAGTGTGGGGAGAAGAGTACAGATCTTTGCCATACAGTCGAAAGAGTCTAGACTTATCGGAGTTGAGGTGGAGCTGTCGATCCTAGCATTGACCCGTATATGTGACTCCGGCACTTGTATTTCAAGAGAACATAGACCTAGGTAGAAAACTTTGGGGAATCATTTTGCATGTACGAAGCTAGATCATTACCTAGCCCCAAGCCAGCCAACGCTCCGATGATAACAAGTCCCTCTTCCACATGCATTCCGCAAATCCGCATGACCCATGAACCAAGCACCATCTTACATCCATCCCTCAAAAAAACCTCCACCAAATAAACAATATAATAAACAGTCCCAACCCCCCTAATGGCCCATACTGCTTCAGCAACAACTCCCAATTAATCCGCTCGGCCGCCCGTTTATATTTCCTACTATCCTCCCTCAACCGCGAGCTCACCTCACCCATGCGCTCCAGACTATCCCCTCTATACAGCAGATCCTCGATATTCTTCGTCATCACCTTGGTCACGTCCCGCAGCTCGTCGTTCAGCTTGTCTAGGTTCTGCGTGGCGCGCGTGTCCGAGTACGTGGCTTTCGTGCGCGCAATGAACGTGTCGAACTCCATGAACGCGTAGGGACGGAGCGAGGGGGAGAGGACGGTGTTGGAGGGGTAGGTGGTGCTGAATTCCGTTGAGAGGTCGGAGAGGTAGGTGAAGGCTAGTTTTCGTGGATAGGAGCGCTCGGAGATGCAGATGTATACTATGTCGGCCGAGATGAGATAGCTGGGAGAACGGTTAGCTGGCTGGATGGTAAGTGTCTCGTGCCCGCTGAAATCCGTATCTGGGGGAGTTTGTTGGAAATAGGGGGGGGGGGGGGGGACTGGAATCCAAGCATTGAAGCTGCCTTTGACCCCCCTCCTATTTGCCCACCCGAAGTAATTTTGTCAACACTTGCTGAACAAAACCCGTTCAAATCAAACTTTCCTGTCGTACACACCAGATCTCCAAAACGCCGCTGAGCAAAAAGTAGTATACGTACTGGATAGTATACGAGCCGCTCTCAATACTAGCTTGTGGTTCCGCATGCCGACTGAGTTTCCGTATAATCATCTTGACTTGCGACTTGATCTCTGCGAGCGAGGATTCCGTCTGCGCAAGGAGGGGTCAGCTTGAGTTAAGGTTTGGGGAAGGACTGGTGCTCACTTGTTCATCGTCGACGGAAGCGCAAAGCATAAGGCCTGCAATAGAACCCAGTCAGCTTCTCCTCTCTTGCTGGCTGCAACTATTCTGGGGGCAGTACCGTCGAGCCGGGCGATTTGCGTGGATTTGATCATCGTGAACGGAGGGTATATTTCGTAGGCTGTAGTTATAGGGGGGGATGTTCATTCATGAACTTTAGGTAGTATTAGTTTGTCGCAATAGGAACAAGAATTCAGCTGTCCGGATTTGATGTTGTATAAACGGCAGGTTCTCGGTGAAGTAGAGAAATACAGAAACAGTTGATTGGGACGTATTGGAGGCGTTAATGTCGGATTTAGAGAAAGCTCATAGCTGTTCTTTATTTACACCATTCTTGCAGCCAGGCCAGGCCAGGCCAGGTCAACATCACGGAGGTCGGCGATTCTGAGCTCTCCCGCTTGTTCATCCGCGCCTTTCCTCTTTGGGAAGAATATATTGTTCAAACCGACAACAAATCATATACTCTTTTAATACCACCACTACATAAACAACCCCTAGCAGCAGGAGGCCCCTCTACATGCTTCCTTCTCTTTATAAATTGAGGAATGGGGGCGCATATTTGCAAAGGTAAGCCAAACCTAGCCCGTGCTTAGACATGAAGCTCCCCTCCCTCTTTGTACATGATTTGTTAGCCATGAAAGTCCCAGAGCTTATTTTACGGACTTCGCATTACTATTCTTTAAAGGCTTTCAATTCTTGTCTTTTCAACAAAAGTTTTACTGCAATGCTTCAACCTTCGCTGGTCACCTGATTCGCCGTCTCGCACGCTTTGTTTCTGCCATCTTCCGTTTCATGCAGCTCATTCTACTTGATTCGATTTGGAGATACCAGAAAATTGATTTTTGCGCAGCGTCTTTTAAACGGCTTCGTTCTACTTGAACATCACATCGTTTTCACCCAGATTCAAAACCTACCAGAGCCCACGAATACCTCCACAGACGAGTCGACAGAAGTACCATTCATATCCCCAAATAAAACTACCTTGTCGGCGACAAGGCATCTACGATGAAGAAGGGCAAGGGCAAGTCCAGGAGCAGGCCAAAACCTAGGAAGAGCAAAGACGACGTATTAGATGATCCGGATACATGTCTTGGACCCATGAAATCGCCTCTTTATGACGAGAATATGAACACTCAGGTAATACAATCCTAGAAATATACACTGTTCTTGGCTAATAGACACCACAGGAGATCCTCGACCACCCCATTGCCCAATCCATCCTCGGAGCCGAGCCTGGTCTGAGCTCCGAAGAGAGCCAGCGCGCAATAGCCGATTTCAAAGAAGATGGACGCTGTGGTCGTCACGATGCTGTCTGGTTGTGGGAAGCTCTACAAGCCTCTGAGAGCCGGGCCGCTGGCATCTACGAGGAGTATGACGAGTACCAGTTCCGGGAAATTTACGGAAGCGAAAGAGAGGAGCTTTCCGATACTGAGTCGGAAGCTGAGGCTGAGGCGGAGACAGATAGTCGAATAGTAGTTGACCATGTGTCTCCCCCAAAGGAAGATAATAACGATGTCGACAATGTTGGAGATAGCAATGTTGGAGATGGCAAGGATCCTTCTCATCTCTCTACTCACGGTACCGTGGATGGGCTCGCTAAGTTTGTCAACGAGTCGGCACCCGAGAATGATTCCGGTGGCTTCCGTTCCAATACCCAAGAAAACGACACTTCAAATGGCGACAGAGAAAACCATGGAAAAATTCAGGACGGACTTCTAGATTAGGGTTTACCTCCCCGACCCCGGTATTTGACTCCAATCTCATGCCAACAGCATCGATCTGGTTATTCTACGAATGCAGTGACCTCGCCCCTGATTTTGGTCGATACCACGTCCACCTCGAACTATTCGCCCTTTTCATCCACACCTCGCAAGTTTCGTATTCCAGCAATTCTCACCTTCGTAAGGCAGCCTTAAAAGCGACATCTCCTTCGTGTGTCCAAATCATACGCTACCTCAGGACCGCCCAATTCATGAAACTCGTTTTCCGACCCAGTCGTCTTCCAATCCTCACAATGCACAAGAAACCCATCATATCTCGATATAAGTCCAGCCCAAACATTCACCAAAACCTGTTGCTCCTGCATACAGGCGGTACTTTCGGCGGCGAGTCTTTCACGATGGATCTGGGCCAGCTTTATAGCCCGTACGATAGAGGCTGTGGTAGTTGACTTGCACTGCTACAAGCATTCATGTTTTACAATTATACCCAAGGATTGCTTTTTCTGCATACGATATGATACGAGAATAATGGATACGTGGATGGCATGGCGAGAATTAATGAATGAAAACATGTTACCTCTCTTTTTGCAAATTCTATTTGATACCCCCTAATGCCAGATTCGTCCACCCAAGAAATCTAATCAGCAAAAATTATCTATTCTACTTTCAGCCTTTAGGCTTTTTCATATAAATAAAGTTGGGGCCTTATAGGTACAGTCACGTGTAACTTATAATGCATAAAACCACGAATTTTCGCGCTTCGCGACAAAACCACTTCCTACCTTCCTACCTAAATTCTTACTTATGCCACCACAACATAGTCCTCTTGGTCCTATATCAGGGAACAGGATTCTTGGACAGCATCTTTCACCCTACTAAAGAGGCCAGATCGCTGGCAGGGCTATAGAGGGCGCACGGCCTTAGACTATTGCAGATGACCTAGAGCTTAAATATTCAACTGTCTACCGCACTATACAAAACGACCTCCTACGCCATAAAGGCAAATCCCTACCACGAATCCCGCGCAAGAAGTTATATACCAAAGCAGACGAACGTACCCTCCTCCGCTATGTGCGCCTACACCCGAAAGAGACATATAAAGAGCTTAGGATAAGCAGTGGGTTAACATGCTCTAAGGAGACCATGCGGAAGATCTTAAAGGCAAATGGCATCACTAATTAGAAGGCAAAACGTCGCCCATTTCTTACACCAGAGAATGCAGCTAAACGGCTTGCCTGGTGCCTAGAACGGCGGCATTAGACTCAAGAAGACTAGGCTTTAGTTATATGGAGTGATAAGTGCTCTGTGGAGCGGGGGCGGGGTAAAAGGGATAAATAGGTCTTCCGTACGCCAGCGCAGAAGTGGCACCGCCAGATGGTCCAAACCTATAATACGAAGAAGAATATAAAGGTTATAGTCTGGGCTGCCTTTTAGGATACTAGACGGAGTGGTCTTTATATCATGGATCGAGATTTTGAGTCTAAGAAGCATGGGTACTCTACAGAGAGCTATATTAAGGTCCTAGACGCCTAAGTTGCTCCTATTTTTGAACGGTTAAGTCGGAATAGTAATAAATACGATTTTATGCAAGATAATGCTTTAATTCATACTACAGGCAAAGTAAAGGAGTGGTTTGAACTGCGGGGGATTAATATATTAGAGGATTAGCCGCCATACTCCCCAGATTTGAACCCAATTAAGCATTACTAGTGGCACCTAAAGAAGAAGGTCTATGAGATGTTTCCTGAGATAGCTAGGGAAAAGAGCGAATCAGAGCATGCAAGGCAATAGCTTAAGAGCGCATTATAAGCAGCCTGGGACTATTTACCTGATGAATTATTTAGGAAATTGTGGGAGAGCATAGAGAGCAGAATTGAGGCAGTTATTGCGGCAGATAGGTGGCATACTGAATATTAGACTTAAAAATTAACACAACTTAATAAATTTTAGTTCCCTAGAAAGCTATGACTCTAGCAATTCTAAAACACCAAGAATCACTTGATTTGGATAATTATTAGTCTAGGAATAGAGACATTTATAATGGGGGGGGGGGAAATGGCGTTCTCGCTAAATCTCGGTTTATGCATTATAAGTTGGTTAGTACTGTACTCGTCTACTATATTCTTTACGGGTCAGGTATTTACCCGTAGATCCTAAGGGTAGTACCCCAGGCGCGCGATGCCCAAGTTTGAAATTGATCCAGAGATTGGATATACTTTCGAAAGAATAAGCATATTAATTATATGCTCGGGGTTAATGAAGCGTAGTTAATAGGATGCTTGCAAGAGGCATGCGACAAAGATGGGAGTCCCTGGCGCCGGATGTTGAGATGTTTGAAATGAAGCATTTGCCATTCTTTCCTGGGACCAAGTTGTATTCTCTCTCAGTTAGAAAGGTCGAATATATATCGGTCGGGCTCTTGGAAAGGGGGAATGTATGTCTGCAGATCTGCCCCCCTTTTACTTGTACCTAGGTACATGGAGGTACCCCGCACTAGTCCGGAACTAGAAATTCTGCCCGAACAGACCGCTTCCCTCGTCCTGGTAAATAAATTTTACTCGAAACCATTCCATTCACATGAGACCTCATATCCAACCAACTCGCAGTACGTGGCAATGCTAATCCCAAAACCGCTAATCCTCTTCATCGACGCCTACGACAGCTTCTCCAATAACATCATCTCGCTCCTCGAAACAAGCCTCAGTGCCTCCGTCCGCACCGTTAAAATCGACAACCCCGCCCTCGCTACAGACGAAGCGTTATATGAAGAGTTGAGTCATTATGCTGCAGTGGTATGTGGACCGGGTCCGGGGCATCCTGGGAGGGAGGCAGATGTGGGGGTCATGAAAAGGATTTGGAAAACCGGGGTGCCGGTTCTGGGGATATGTCTGGGGTTCCAGAGTTTGTGTCTGCAGTTTGGTGGGGTGGTTAGGAGGTTGAAGGGTCCGCAGCATGGGATGATTAGGAGGGTTAATCATGCTGGGGAAGACGAGAAGAGGAATATAGGTTCGATATTTGAAGGTGTTGGAGACATCTACGCTACGCTGTACCAGAGCCTTTGCGCAGACATTGGGCAGGACTTGATACCGGAAAGTTCGTGGGGTGCTGAGAAGTGGAAGTCTACGAAACAGTGCCCGGATCTTCTTCCGCTGGCCTGGGTTGAGAGCGATCTTTCCGAAGAGAGCGATTCTGGAGTCAGAGATGCCAGAGTCCTGGTTGCTGTACAGCATAGGACAAGGCCATTTTGGGCGCTGCAATATCATCCGGAGTCGATATGCACCAATGAGGAGAGTAGGAAGGTAATCATCAATTGGTTCAAGGTCGCGCTGCATTACAATCGCACACTGCGTCAACCACGTATCCAAACTGGAGGGCCCCTTCAAGGGAACTTTGCCACTCGGGATAGCTTGCTGAGTCGGTTCGAAAGTTTTCGCCCGATGCTCAATGGCTCTGCGGGCTTCCCAGTCGGAGAAGACTTCCACACGGCCCCGTATGAACATAGTAGTGGCGTGGGTAACATATATTCCTCGCGAACTGTGGATTTACCAGAGAATACACCCGTTGCTGAGATAGTCGAATCCCTTGGCTATGAAGTGGAACAAATCATTCTCCTAGAATCTTCCAACGCATATGAAAAAGCAGTTGGAACAGCAGATGTCCGTGGAAGATATAGTATCATTGCTCTTGATATTAAGGACAGTCTGAGATTCGAATATACTACTGGAAGCAACCAAATATCTGCCATTTATCCTGCTGATGCCGCGGCTGACAAATATATCACTGATTTGAGACAATTTGGCGGGGTCTGGTCGTTCCTGGCCCAATACTTGGATAAGCGCAAGATACAAGATGGGAACAAAGACTCTCCGTTTTGGGGCGGCTTCATGGGATACACGACATACGAGCTTGGCTTGGAGCGTATCGATGTACAAGCTCAAGGACGAAAGAACCACCCCACTTCTCGCCCAGATCTGTGCTTTGCTTGGGTTACCCGCAGCGTGGTTATTGACCATGTTAAAAACTGCATCTATATCCAACAGCTAGCCCCAACAGCTGCCCAAGCTCAGGTGGAACAATGGATGTACGACATGGCCATGCGAATAGCGAACACTTCTTATCGCCATCCCTTAAAACCACCGAGCACAACAAACACATCAAAATCAGGCCCATACATCATCACACCTCTAGATTCCGAGTATGAATCCAAAGTCCGCGACTGCCAAGAATCAATCCGAAGCGGCGATTCCTACGAGCTCTGCCTCACAGACCAAACAACAATTACCAGACCCTACGGTGCTTCCTGGGATCTTTATACCTCTCTGCGCACCCGCCAACCTGCCCCCTTCGCATCCTACATTCGCCTTGGTCCCCTTACCCTCGTGTCTTCGTCCCCCGAACGCTTCCTCTCCTGGACTGAGGCAGGCAAATGCGAACTCCGACCCATGAAAGGCACCGTACGCAAAAGCCCCAGCGTCACCACCCTCTCCCACGCGCGCGCCCTCCTCGACGTCCCCAAGGAAAAGGCAGAGAACCTCATGATCGTCGACCTCGTACGACACGACTTGCACGGCGTGTGCGGGAGTGGGAACGTAACCGTGCCGCGCTTGATGGTGGTGGAGGAGTACGCGAGTGTGTTCCAAATGATCACCGTCGTGCAAGGACAAATCCCCTCTCCGCTTTCCAGACACATGAATGTCGCAGAAGCAGACCAGGCGAAACGCACACGGTATACGGGACTTGATGTCCTCGCTGCTTCTCTACCCCCTGGCAGCATGACCGGTGCGCCGAAGAAGCGGAGCTGTGAGATCTTGCAGGCGGTTGAGGGGGGCAGGGAGAGGAGTCTGTACTCGGGTGTCGTGGGGTATATGGATGTAGGCGGGAGGGGGGATTTCAGCGTTACGATTCGGAGTATGTATCGCTGGGACGATGACGATTTCACTTCTCCTTCTGCGGAAGGGGAGGAAGAGCAAATTATGGAGAAATGGCATATTGGTGCTGGGGGCGCGGTTACGGCGTTGAGTACACCGTTGGGGGAGAGGGAGGAGATGCAGACGAAGTTGAATGGGACCTTGGGAGTTTTTGGTTTGGGAATATAAGGGGGCGCAAGTCTTGGGGTAGATGTATCATGTATGGTGTTTGGGAGGCAGGCGGGCGGGCGGGCAGGCAAATACTCAACGTATTTGATTTAACATGGCTGGGTATTTGGGCTGGCGTTGGATAGATGGAAGACTCCTCACTCAACGATACCCATATATATAGATAGAAATATGCATGCGCTTTACAACATCCCATCCTTTCAATCCAAAAAAACAAACAAATAGATAAATAAAATTTTATGCGCCCGAAGGAATCAAAGTCTGAGTTATATCCCAAATATGCTTGCTTGCGTGCTTCCTTGCTTGATATATATACTACACTTGTACAAGCGTACAAGGAAACCCTCGCCATTTCCATTTGCATTTCCCCGCGCCTGCTCTCATCCATATTCATATTCATGTCCATCCTATCCTCACTCCACTGTTTACTATCAATACCCTAGAATTCCTGCTCTTCTTGGAAAAACATGCCGAAGCTGATGATGGTGCCGTAGATGAGCACTCCGCCGATAATAGACATTACCATGGCCGTATACGTTATAAGCATTGAGTGTGCGAGAACGACTGGTAATGCTGTTTCACCTAATGTTAGCTTGCGGTTTATCTTGATGCGCATCCGAGTCGACTTTGTTCGCAACCCAAGGCATACATTCCATCAAATGAAACCAAAATCATAAAATCGCTTTCACATCCACATCCACATGCATACCCAGTAACTCCAAAAACAAAAGCAAAGCAAAAGAAAAAGGCAAATATACCAATACCCATCAACACCAAAAACCCCGTACAGAACCTCCCGAAATCCACCACCGCATTCCCCGCACTCTCCACGAAATCATCCGGATTGGCACAGCGCCCGCAGATCCAGTTGGGTAGGGGAGCGAGTACGTAGGTGGCGACGACGAGTAGGGGTAGGTATTGTTTGAAGAGCGCGCAGGAGAGGATTACGAGGAGGAAGCCTATGGCTAGGACCTGGAAGGGGAGTTAGATTGAGTTTGAAGGTGGAGGAGGGGTAGGGAAGGAGGAGGGGGAGGGGGAGGAGGAGGAAAAGGAAGAGGGAGGGTAGAAAGAGATGGTGATAGGGGGACATACGAAGGAGAGGGAAATGATTGTTTTGAGACCGGCGGCCATGGTGAGGGAGGGGAGTTTGAAAGGCAGGTTGGGTGGTGTGTGAGTCCAGCCTCTTATCGCAAGGCCAGATATTTGCGCTGTCTGTTTTTGACTCTATCCCCAGCTTTAACTTCAAAGTCAAAGTGGACTTCGACTGTATCGAGCGTCGTGATGGATGCGCCGGTGTGCTGTGAAGTTGGAGAGTGAGTCGCGTAATGTTGATAGTCGACTTGACGTTGTCGCATCGGATCGCAGTTACAGCTAGCTTTGCCTTGATAATGAGGCTGAAAGCGGAGGACCCCTGCCCCTGCCCTGCCATCTACGGTACGGCAACCAAAAGCAACCACGATGCGTTTACTTTACCTTAGAGCTTCATCATCGCGTCTGCCTCAACTGCATACAAATACACCCACACCATTCAATCTCCCTCCCTCCAACGCAAACCACGACTCCACGATCCACGATCCCTTAATCCAATTTTACAAATACACACGCAGCTAGCTGAAGCTGCAGCAGAAGAGGCAAGATGTTCAGAAATAACTACGACAACGATTCCGTTACTTTGTGAGTAGCTCGAAGCCGTGCTGTCTTGTGGAGTGCAAGGGATTATAACTGACGGCTTGAAGCTCGCCGCAGGGTCGAATATTCCAGGTCGAGTATGCATCGGAGGCTGTGAAGCAGGGAAGTGTAGTTGTGGGAATAGTAAGCAAGACGCATGCTGTGCTTGTTGCTTTAAAGGTACATATCTCCCTCTTCCCTCTTTTTCCCTCTCCTTCACCACACATCTCTAACACAACCCCCCTTCCTCCAGCGCAACGCCGAAGAACTCTCCTCGTACCAAAAAAAGGTCATCGCCATCGACGAGCATCTCGGCCTAGCACTCGCCGGCCTCGCCTCCGACGCCCGCGTTCTCTCCAACTTCATGAAGCAGCAATCGCTATCCTCGCGCCTAACCTACGGCCGCGCCATCCCCGTCGAGCGCCTCGTATCATCGATCGGCGACCGCGCTCAGACAAACACGCAGCACTACGGCAAGCGGCCCTACGGCGTCGGGCTGCTGGTCGCGGGCGTCGACGAGACGGGTCCGCATCTATTCGAGTTCCAACCGTCGGGCATGACGCAGGAGATGGCGGCGTGTGCGATTGGCGCGAGGAGCCAGATGGCACGCACGTATTTGGAGAGGAATTTGGAGAAGTTTGGGGCCTGTGGCAGGGAGGAGTTGGTGGTGCATGGGCTGAAGGCGTTGAAGGAGAGTTTGGCGCAGGATAAGGAGTTGACGGTCGAGAATTGTAGTGTGGGTGTTGTGGGGTTGGGAAAGGGGGGGAAGGGTCTAGAGGGGTTCAAGCTTTTTGATGGGCAGGAGGTTAAGCAGTGGGTTGATCTTGTGGCTGAGGGGGCCGAGGAGAAGGAGGGTGAAGGTGAAGATGAAGGGATGGAGGTTGATTCGTAGATGTGAGCTTTTCTGGGATCTCGACTGGATGGGGAGGGATATGACTTGTAAAATTACCGGATTACATGAGCAAAAGACTTGCTGATATCAGATAGAGCCTTAATTCAAGGTTGATTTTGTGGACCCCTTTCTTTTCCGTTTTTATATATATATTTTTTTTTATAAATTTCCGCTTGATGCGAAACATTCGTCGATCAAACTACCTGCAATGCATATTCCACCAGCCAGCGCCATCCATCCCACTTTCTGTCTATCAATTTGCGATTCCATCTATCCATCCCACTTTCTGTCTATCAATTTGCGATTCCATCTATCCATCCCATACTCATACGCCAAAACACTTTCCTTCGTTCATTTCCCCATCTACCCCTCATTCCACCCACGCACTACTCATTCCCCCACTTCAACTTAAAGCGCCCCTCATCGGGCACATACACCTTCAAAACCTCCACCGCCTCCTCCCCATTCTTCGCCTCACCGATAATGTTCCGATTCTTCAATCCCACGAACCCGGCATCCACACTACCCTCTACCCAGTGCAGGAGCCCGTCCCAGTACCCTTCGATGTTCAGCACGCAGACACCCCGCTCGTGGATCCCGAGTTGGTTCCACGTTACTACTTCCATTAGCTCTTCGAGGGTGCCGTAGCCGCCGCTAGGGAGGATTAGTGCGTGTTTGATGTGATGCAGTACAATTGAAAATAAATGGGAGGGAAAGGAAAGGAAAGGAAGAGATAAGTCCACAGGCTAGTGCCCCTCTCTGTGTATATATAAAAGGAAAATGGAAAAGAATAAGCAACGAATCTCAACTCACCTCAAAGCAACAAACCCACTCCCAGCCCCCGCATCAACAATCTCCTTCACCATCATTTCCTTCCGCTGATGCATACTATTCACCACCGTTGTCTTCCCATACGTAGCATACGCTGGTAGATCACTGCTCTCCGTGGCCGAGTTGGGGCCGGCCTCGTACTGGACGAGCGCTGTGGGGATAATGCCGTGCACGGATTCTGGGCCGGAGAGGGAGACGAGGGTGCGGGCTACTTCGCCCACTGTGGTGGAGTTAGTAAGAGGTAGATTTTTCTTTTTTTCTTGAAAAGGGATAGGAGTTGGAGGGTGAGATTTAAGGGGGAGAAAGGGGGTAGTGGGAAATAAAGGGAGGGCTTACTGAGACCAACTGTTCCGCCGCCGTACACTAGCTGGATGTTATTACGAGCCATTACTTGAGCCAGGGCGCGCGCAGCTTCCATATCTGTGGATTAAGTGTTAGCAGGCAGGACAGTACCAGGACTTCAGCTCCGAGGTGGGGTGAAGCGGGGTGGGATTGAAAAGCTTACGGGCTGGTGATTTTCCAGGAGATGAACCGCAGAAAACGCAGATCTTGACTGGTGCTCCTGCTGCTGCTGGAGGAGAAAGGGTGTCTTTGGGTAGGTTTGAAAGGCTTGGGGTTGAGGACTCTGCGTTCATGGTTGGGGAAACGGGGGATGTGCCGTTCAATACCATCGTGTGAGGTTTGATTGATGAATGGTTTCGGAATTAGTGTTGAGATGTAGTTGTAGATGAAGAAGTCGAGGAGTGTTGTGGGAAAGCCAACAGGTCTAAGAGGTTTGTTTAAATAGTCGTCTTTGGATTCAATATATTGCTTTCTGACGTAGGGAGTGGCGGCGTATTGTAAATCAAGGGCGATCAGTCGGACTTGATGTGTGAATTAGAAGATGAAACAAGATGACTGGGACATAGATCAAGTGAATAAACAGGAGATGTATTCAGCTGTAAAGACTGTATGTTGTCTGACTATGTGTGATTCTCGAATTTAGATGTATATATGAAGTTGTACCGACCGAGTCATAAGGTCGTGGTCATATTGTTATCATATGACGCTTATCGTCGGATCTCAATGGTGGGTGGACCGAGGGGAGGGATACTCGTATAAGGCGGTGACATATGGCACAAAGTAAATTGACACCACCACCCCTTCCAAATGCACTCTAGCTGCAATGGCAAGATCAACACAACCTCTCTCTTCCACTTCCCTTCCCATCTTTAGATCCAAAGGGAAAGATATCTCAAGTCAACATGCCTCCTCCTACAGCTCCCCCAGCTGCGGCTGCAGGTGCACAAGGAGAACAGAGTGCTATGAGCGTAAGTTCTGCAACTCTCAGACAATACACAATAAGCAGGAATACTAAATACTCCAATAGCCAATGCTCAGGTCTGCTGCCCAAGGCCTGGCCATCTTCTTCGGTATGCAATTTGTCATGAACCAATTCATGAATAAGAAGCCCGAAACCACCACTGTGACGGATCAATCCGGCCAAGTCATCTCTGTCCCTGCGAACACCGGCGAAATCCCACCCTTCCACGCGCGTCCCGACACGTTAGATGAAGGCGCGAATTACAACCCTATTCCCCAACGTATTGCGCCCATGTGGCCATTAGACATCCCATTGGATATCACGATTGTCGTTTCTCCCACCTTTGTGTCCGAGCCGGTAGCTAAAACACCCAAGGACAGAAGAGTGGTTGAGGAGATAGGGTTCAGGTTTGGAGACTACAAGGAGAATAGGGTTATTGATACGGAATTCACGGTACCGAATGAAGTAAAGAATAATGGAACGCTTTGGGCACATTTCTATATTGGGATTTCCGGGAGCAAATTAGATCCGACAACTGCTGGATATGATCCTAGTCAGGCATATCATTTTGTTTATCCTTTGACACAGTATATTGCCCAGAAGAAGGTTAAGAAGACGAAGAATCTTCTTGCCGCAAGTGATGATGTTGAAGAGGTAATTATGATATTTGGTTGCACTGGAATACGGCTAACACGAAACAGGAAGTGGAAGAAGTCCCTACTGGACCCATTATCAACTCTCATTACCATCCCAACTTCACTATATCTTTCATTCCAGATTCTGGAGTGATGCAATATCCAACTCTTCAACCAGCTGTCAGACAATACTTACAGATGGAGGCGACTGGAGCAAGAGACGCAACTGGCCAGAATGCCTGGTATTATCCAATTGTTTTTGTTAATTCTTTCTGGCAACTCAAAACTCACATGACGACTTTGAATTCAACCGTCACAAAACTCCCTCTTCACATCGACTTGAATAATTTCGCAAACTGGAAGTTCAGCATCCTTTCCAGCATGGATGAAGGTGCTAAGCAGACTGCCAGGAATGCTGCTCAAGGTATCTCTAGCCCAGGTGGAGGAGATGGTAGCGAGTTTGAGATGATCAAGGAGGTCCTTCTCGACACCAACCCTATTCTTTTGGGTACCACCGTGGTCGTTAGTGTATTTCATATGCTCTTTGAAATGCTGGCTTTCAAGTCAGACATCAGCCATTATCGCAACAAGAAAAACAACGTCGGTATCTCAGTCCGTTCCATCCTTGGAAACGTCTTTATGCAAGCCGTCATCTTCCTCTACTTATTAGACAATAACGAGAATACCAGTACGTCTCCCTTTCTTTTCTGAAACTACAATAGTCTAACTTATGAAATAGGTTGGATGATCCTCTTCAGCCAAGGAATGGGAATCCTCCTTGAATTCTGGAAGATCACCACCGTAGTAAACGTGCGCATCCGTCCCGCTGATTCTATCATCCCCTACCGCATCGCCTTTGAAGACAAACACGTCCTATCAGAAACGGAGGAGAAGACCAAGGAATACGACGCCGTGGCTTTCAAATACCTCTACATGATAGCCGTGCCTTTGCTCTTCGCTTACGCAGGTTACTCTCTCTACTACGACACGCATAAATCCTGGTATTCGTTCGTAATCACCACACTCGTCGGCAGTGTCTACGCGTATGGATTCCTTATGATGGTACCCAGTCTCTACATCAACTACCGTCTCAAGAGTGTAGCGCATCTGCCAGCCAAAGCCATGACGTACAAATTTCTCAACACGTTCATCGACGACCTCTTCGCTTTCACGATCAAGATGCCCACCCTGCACCGCCTGGCAACTCTAAGAGACGATCTTATCTTCTTTGTGTATCTGTACCAGAGTTGGAAATACAAGGTTGATTACACGAGAGTCAATGAATTTGGCCAGGGAGGAGATGAGGAGCAGGTCGAGGATAAGATTGCTAATGCGCCGTTGAAGAGTATTGCGGGCGCGGATGCTAGTGTGAGTGTTGGGGATGAGGGCGCGGATGAGACGACTGCTAAGACGTCAGGACATGCTAAGAAAACTGGGGCGAATAAGAGGAAGTAGTGTGGGTATAAGTTATAGATTGGCTACTCTGAATAAATCGCTAATTAGTTCCTTCATGTCTGTTTTATATGGGCGAGCTTAAGTAGTTAGTCACTAGTACTAGTATTTGGGTAACAGGTCAATATACCTACGTAATTAGGAAGCCTGTGTATAATACAGCTAGTACACCACCTCACTATAAACAAGTATTAAGCTTCCTTCAAGTACACTCACAAATGCACATGAATCATATTTGACCTTCCAATTCCCACTAAATATCTCAATTCCAATCAACTAATATCCCCGCAATTAACGCAAACACATATCCATGCATCTAGGCCCTTGTATCATATTATATGATCCAGGGGAACAATAATAATCTTCCTATCCTGTCTAGCGGAGGGAGGTAGGAACTTGTCTAGAGCTTGGTATTTTGTGTAGGGATTTTGAATTTGTAAATTTAGGTTTTCGCACAAATTATGCTTGATTGCAAGACATTACAAGCACGCATGAAAACATTCAGATTGAAATGAAACGCAAGATAAACAAACTTGAAATCACATTTAGTAGAGAAATAGTGTCTTTTGCGCCTATAATTCGATATCAGAACCGTCGAAATTAGGGAAAAGGAATAAAGACTTTAAAAAGATGAGAACTGGTAGGGGAGGTTCACCAGGTTCCTAAATATAGATTCGACGTAGTCCTTTGTGCACGGGCCACCTCTAACTAAAGTGAAATTAAGGCAGGTGCGGTACGTACTTCATATCTTGTCGTATATCTCGTAGGATTAAACTCGAAACAAGTCAAGGGAGAAAGATCGCCGAGAAGCACATGGAGGCTTACGCTGTAAGCTCTATATATGCAAGGGGAGGGGGACACTTCCGATAAACCCCCTATAAGTAGCCCGACCTCAGAAGGGTCGGTACACTTAATTAACTTGCCCCGCAAAATGGCTCGCATGTTACTTCGAAGTACTTCGTCACAGGCGTAGCTAATCCGCCAAGAATTCTATAGCAGGGGGTGGGGGGTAAAGAAAGGTGGTAAACGAAAGAAAGATGGTAAATGCACCAAAGCAAGGCAAGCCCCTTGCCTTGGTCTTCTTAACGGAATAGTTACGAAGTAAATAGTAGCGCGGGCTTCTATGGGTCAAATGCGGGTCTCGCTTGCTTCATATATAGTTCGGGGCTTTTTACCCTTTCGAGGGTTAATCACTTATGGCTATGCTATGGTGTACTTGTTAGGGCATCTATATATACGTATTCGCTATACGATACCGATATTATTTCTCATTTTTCCATATTTCAGGAGTCAATACCGTTTCTAGAGAATATCACGTGGGTATCTTAGTAGCTTAGTCAGGAAGGAAACCTTGACCTCGATCCTCAAACTTACAGCTCATGTGGTTTGCACTCTTTCAAATCACAAATCTCCGTTGATTTCCAAATTCTTCGTTCTTTATCAATCCCTTCCTTTCTAATGGCCTATTCATTGGGCTAGTGCCTTCTTATGGATCATTAAGTACAATTTTTCTATAGCCATTTTGATTAAGAACAGTGCTCTACTCTCGACCTTGATTGTATCATTGCTACCAAATCTCCACTTATTTTGTTATATAGTGCACTGTGCACATCACATCCTATACGCCTGTCGGTAAGTCCCTCAAGCGTCCGGTAAACCCCACTGAAACCTAAGCTAATACTGGGAATTGTGGACCTGGGCCTGGAAGCATTCTACAGTAAACATTCCTTCGCCAGATAATGCGGGGCAAAAGAACCCATCGGACTATTATTATCTTCTGGATGTGGGGAATGGAGAAGGATTTCTCATCAACCTTCATTCTAAGGAGTACGAAGTATAGAATAATGAAGGGCTCGAAAAAGATTCTGCTCGTAGCGGATTGCCCTTTGCGGCAATACTATGGGAATGATAATTCCTGCAGGATGGCCCTAATATCGTATATTAGAACAAAACCTTGGACTCGGTACGCTAGAACAAGCTTTACCTACCTAAAGGATCTCTACGAAAGCCGCATTTATGCTGCTCCCGAATCCTGTATAGTTTGAGCCCCAGACTACTTGGTATAGGTACTATGGCAATCGCCTTCGGTTTTCTGTTGGGGGATACTCACGTGGTCCCGCTTAATACAGAAACTCTTCATTTTGTCCCATACCCTGGCATCTTTCTTCATTTCTTGATTTTCTGTCACATTTGTTTTTGGGCTTTGGGTTTTGAGCAGCTTACAAACTGCAGGTTCGCTCCTTAAGCTGTTCTTTGAATATGAAGCTCACCAGTACTCTCGTCGTTCTTTTCGTCTCTTTCGCCCCAAGCTATGCCTATATTCTAGATCCCTCATGTGGCGCGTATAAAGATATCGTGGTCGCGGGCATGAAAGGAGCATTTGATCTCGCTCAAGCGGGGGCAGATACTTTGAATACTGTTGAGACTTCAAATGATGGTGGTGGAGACGTATTGCAGGCCCAGAGAGACCTCTTTGGCTTCACGTTCGCCGATGCAATGACAAATGGCAAGATAGTTCCGACTAATGCCAAGGTAAGCGAACCTTTTGTTTCTCCTTGATTGCGTTTTATTTAGAGAGTGAATCATCTTTCGTCGCAGCTCCTTTATTCTTTCCAAGAAACAAAATACTAATAATATGTTGTAGTGGGCAACCATTAAAAACGTATTCGACGCGGTCCTGAAATACAATAAAAACAATGGTGAACCAGATGTAACAACTCTTCGATATGACTATACATCCCTCACCGTCGACGATCTCATCATCCATTGTGATTTTACGCGTTTTGATGAGGGCTACAACTGTAGAGCGCCCGCCCCTGACCGCATCTGCGATATGACCCTAGGGATCGACTGGCCTTTTGGAAATGCTTACTTTAACTGCAAGTATATGCTCCCTTATAGTGATAAGCTCACGCAAGCTTTCGTACTGGCCCCGTCTGAGGTGGGGATCCCTTTGCCTTCCACGCTGCAATTGTGCCCTGGCTTCCTAGCCGAGATAAATCTGCATGAGAGCAATACCTTGGGAGGGCAAGGTTCCACTGCTGCCCTGGCTATGAATTGGGCAAAGTACATTTACGATCCTCCCAGCGGATATCCTGCTATGGATTTCTTATCGACGTTCGATTTTACCTTGCTTCATGAATTGACACATGCCATTTCGAAGGGGGCAACCGTTGACGCTGATGGATCGAATTCGTATGGTTGGAACAATGCATATGTCGTGGCTGAGGATGACGGTACGCGTAATGCTGAGAACTATGCCTTCTTTGGTTTGGCTAGTAGAATGATCGTTCCGAAGAATGGCGTGCAAGCTCAACGACCCATGGAGGATGGATCAATACAAATCCTTGCTGGAGGCTCAAGGCGCTCGAAACGAGACCTCTCTCACGGCGACAACCTATTTGGGCCCCGGGCAATGAATTCGACCATAGCCCGCAACAGCAGCGACTCTATTAGTTCTTCCAACTTGACATCAAGGAGTAACTCTACCACATTCAGCACTGCTACTCGAGGACATGATTCGTCCGAGAGCATCTCGTTATCAAGTACGATTGCTGGGTCTGCTCTAAGCTTCATATCTACTTCCTCTGCTCGTGGCCATACGTTGTCTACTCTCTCTGAACCAGCCTCGAGTAGCAGTTTCTCATCGTCGTCAGAAGGAGACAAGCATAATTCTTCCTTTACTGACCTGTCAGGGTCTGTCTCGCATACTGTTCTTCCTACCATTGCTACAAAGAGCCCCTCGATTTTCAGCATCCACTCTTCAAGCTCCCTCACGACTTTGTTAAGTGATAGAGCTTCTAAAAACGCAACATCTATCACGGGTGGCTTATTATCAGAGTCTTATTCCAGCCCTATGTCCTCTTCCAAGTCTTTTTATAGTGCAACAGAACCAAATAGAACGACTACGTCACCATCCGGAAGAAGCACGCAAGCCTCTCCATCTAGGTTCACTTCATATACCTCAAGCTCAACCGAAGCACTTCTTGTATATCACTGGGACAAGGCGACGCCAACTACAACCACTGGAGTATCATCCGCAACCCACGACTCTCATGGGTGGCCAATCATCCCCATTGCTCATTGTTGGTTTTGTCCTCCCGGTAATGGAGGCGGTGGAGGCTTTGGCGTTGTCATTCCCGACGTTACAGGTATATCGGCAAATCTTAATACATGGATTACCTAGATTTATAACATGAAGCTAATATATAATCAGGCCCTGGTATACTGCCCCCTCCAACCCAAGGAGTTAAACCTCCTGTGGGGTTTTCATCAAATATGCCGCCAATTACGTTAGATGCGGCTGGAGATCCTACTTTTGACACTGTAGAGCCTACTAGCCAGCCAACCGATTCCCCCTCATCTGCGACTTCAGAGGCCAAATCGGGTAGCCCTTTACGGACCGTTTCGTCTATTCCCTCCAGTACTACTCATGCCAGTAGATCTTGCTCCACGCAGACAATGAGCGCCTGTGAGCTCTCGTATTCGATGTTTACCCCCGCCGGCGCGAGCACAGCAAATATTTCTACCATTACAGTCTCATGTTCAACTGCAACTGCCTGCACAGTTTCCCTAAGTAGCTCCTCAACGAGTACCGCCGCAGGTGTTACTGCAACACCTATTTATGATTTCGCCAGGCGTGAATCTTGGTACGACATGCAGCAGAAGATGCTCTCCGAGGCAATGGCTAATACGACCGATGCTTACATTACTTGGTCTTCGGGTGAAAGTAGCAGCACCAGAAGTACACGTTCTGCTTCAAAGACGCTCTTATTGTTTGGTTCGGATAATAGCACGAGTTCGGCGGCAAAGATTGTCTCGTCCTCTAGTTCGAAAAGTGCGTCAAAGTCCACAACAGATCATAGTAGTACAGAATCTACAGTCCCTACATCGAAAGAACAATCAACAACTAGTAGTGCCATAAATTCCACGGATTCTAAATCAACAGTACAATCGAAACCCGGTAGTTCTACCTCATCATCTAGCCACACAACCATTCTTGCCTCGGTCCATAGCACAACATCAGCGAACGTCATAACCTCTTGCAGCTTATCCAGTTACACAGCTCTTAAAACCACTCAGTCCGGCATGACAGTCGATGTCCCTGCTACAATCGGATGTGCGTGTAACGATGACTGGACGGCTGGGATTGGGAGCATAGTTGGTTCAGATTCCTCCACCACTTATACCTGCCAAATCACCTCAACATACATCGCTGTCAGCACTGGCTCTCCTAAGTCAGTCACAACAACTGCGGTCGAGTCCGTCAAAACAACAGCTAAGCCAGTTTCAACAGCCACAACCATAGCAGCTCCATACCAGACGGGTACCTGCAACCTCCACATCTTCGAAGTATCTAAGGACAACACACAGCCCCTATACGTGCAGCTAAACATCACCGACGGCGGGGACACACTACTCACCAGTAAAAGCTACGACATAAAATGGGGCGGCACATCCAACATCTCTTCAACCGACTCCAAACTCGCAGAAGATATTAGCATCGACTTTACCCGACGGACGTCTAGCAGCAACAAGCTTCGACCGAGAATCCCAGCGCCTCCTGTACAAGTGCCAAATTGGCAGGCATGGATTGTTAGCATAAGGGTGGGGACTACGACATGGGATAGTACAGAGAACGACGAGTCGAAACCTCCGTATTGCAAAGTGGGCGGTTGGAACAATGGCGATTTTAAGGACTTTTTGGAGGGTATACTTTCATTGGGGGCGAACCAATTTGAACCTGTAAGTTTATTGCAATCATATTGGATTGGAGATTCACAATATATGCTGACTGAAATAGACTCGACAGATGGATTGCTACTGGACGTGCTGATCTGTTTTGGAGCTCTATATATCCGGTCCTTGAGCAGAAGTACCGGCACCTGGATGATCGCCAGTGTTTTATTGGGAGTTAATCTGTATCGGCCTTGTCTAGGTTTCAGATTATTCTTTGTTTATATGAACGTCCATAATAAGGGCCTTGGAAGGACATACAACTGTGACTAGGTTTGTAAATAGAAGGTCCTCTATTTTCCGGGCTAAATGAAAAACGACGTACGGAGTGGGTGAGTGCATTGTAAAGTTGAGAATGGCATTAAATGAACTGGAGGACAGGAGAAGAAGTACACGGCGGTAACGGGCACAGTTGGCCAAGACTTGACTAATATACCACAGCTATAATCAGTTTAAAAAGTCTGAGTAGCATTACAGATGGAACGAGATACGAACTATAACAATATGAAAACCAAAACCGCAGCCCAAAAAGTTCTGAAAAAGGTGAAGAATTAGTTTGTCGTTGCCTGGAGTCACGAGGGTTTGCCTCCTGCCCCGCCGCGCAAGCATGGAATGAGCCAACCGCGTCATGGGAACGACGACCTCTCTACATAACACAACTCCCTATACAACAAGAACAAGACGAAACATGATCTGAATGCCCCCTTTACAGCTCGTTGACTAGAGCATCTAGGATATTCTGTTGCGACGACACAGACAGCCATCCAAATAGTTACAATGACGTCGTCTTCGGACCCCGCACCACCACGAGCAGCATCGCCGTCCAACTCGTTTTATGCCTTGAGCGACGACGAGGAAGGCGATTACAATACCATCACACATACAGCTACTGGTCGAGGGGTGAAGCTTCTATACTCAAAGAGCAAGGCAAGCCAAGCCACCTTGCGTAAATCCCTTTGCGGCGCCACCTAACATTCCCAGGTCTATATCCACCCCACTCCCTCAGCCAAAGACAACATCCCCGGGTACATTGCCCTCCTACAACAAAAACCACCACCATCCTCCCGTCCCTCATCCTCCTCCTCTTCCTCGGCCCGCGCGAAAGCAGCCTCTTCCCTTCTTCTAGCCTGGCTCCCCGAATCCTCCCTGGGCGATGCCCTCAACACCTATGTCAAAGTAGATCTCTCCGAAGGCGACTCTCCCCCAAAGCAATCATACCTCGTCCCTCCACCACCCACAACCACAGCCCATTCTTCCTCCATCGGGCACTATGCGTTCGCTATACCAGTCTCCGCAATCTACAGCCTGCTGGTGCGGCCGCCGAGCTTGGGATGGTGGTTTGGTAGTGTGATCATAAATACCCGGGCAGGTGACAGCTTCCCCGCCCTGTTCTTCCATGACTCGGAATGCCAAAGTACAATGTTGCAGAAGAAGAAGAGGACGAGGGAGAGCTTTGATCCGTTCGGAGCTAATGGGGAGATGTTTTGGGGAGGGGATGAGGTGCTCAGGTGGCTGCGGCGATACGTTGCTATAGAAAAAAGTGGCGCGGAGCCAAACATTTACCTTGTGGAGCCGAGTATGGAAGATAAAGAGGCTTTTGGTGGCAAGCCTGTTACGGCCGCTGTGGTCAGGCGGCCGAGTAGCAGCGGGGCTGCTGTTGGGGGTGCGGCTGGGTCTGGATCTGGGTCTGGTTTGAGAAGAGATGCGAGTATGGATCCTGTGATGAAATTTGTAAAGGAGACGGGGTGGAATTTGATGGAGAAGTTTAGTAAGGTTACGACATTCACGAGACGGACAGCAGATTCTGTGATCGATAATCCGAAGATTCCCCCGCAAGTTAGAAGATTGTTAAAAAATCCCGAGGTTCAGACATTGCAGGATGAATTCGACAGTGCCAGGATTTATTTGGCCAGGTGGGCAATGGGTATCGCGGAACAAAGTGAACGAGATAGGAACCAACGAATCTGGACCGCAAGAGACGTTTTGGAGATGGAGGAGACAGATGTGGGAGAGTTCGAGCTACTGGATACTGAAATTGCAGGGCTAAGTCTGAAGGAGCTGAGGAAGACGGTCACGATGAAGGAGTGGAACAGCTACTTTGACCAAAGAACTGGCCGACTTCAAGTTACGGCTGATGAGGTGAAGGAGAGGATCTTTCATGGTGGTCTTGATGCCGAAGACGGTGTTCGTAAAGAGGCATGGCTTTTTCTTCTCGGGATCTACGAGTGGGATTCCTCGGCCGATGAGCGAAAAGCAGAATTGGCCAGCCTCCGGGATGAATACGTAAAGTTGAAAGGAGCTTGGTGGGATCGACTGATAGACCTTGGTGGAGAAGGAGAAGAAGGTGAATGGTGGCGCGAGCAAAAGGGAAGAATAGGTTTGTGATATTGAATCCCCCTTTACGTTACTTGCAGTATAGCTAACAAGTCCCATTCCTTGGGGTCTACGGAACAGAGAAAGACGTTCACCGCACAGATCGCGCAATTCCACTCTTCGCGGGCGAAGATACCCCTCATCCAGATCCATCCTCTCCTTTCGCCGATGTAGGGACCAACGTCCATCTCGAACAGATGAAAGATATGCTGCTCACTTATAATGAATACAACCGCGACCTGGGATACGTTCAAGGCATGTCTGATCTTCTCGCCCCCATTTACGCTGTCACACAAGATGATGCCATAGCTTTCTGGGGCTTCCAGCACTTCATGGACCGTATGGAACGGAACTTCCTTCGGGATCAATCCGGAATGCGAAAACAGCTTCTTACCCTAGACCACCTTGTGCAGCTCATGGACCCGAAGCTCTACCTTCACCTACAGAGCGCCGATTCCACAAACTTCTTTTTCTTCTTCCGGATGCTTCTTGTTTGGTTCAAGCGCGAGTTTCAGTGGCTAGATATCCTACATTTGTGGGAGGTACTGTGGACGGATTATATGTCAAGCAACTTCCATCTGTTTATTGCGCTGGCGATACTAGAAAAGCATCGGGATGTTATTATGGAGCATCTGAAACATTTCGACGAAGTGCTGAAATATGGTAAGCTCCCCTTTAGTTTCCCCTGTTTGTCATGCCACGTGACATATATGCTAACGAGGTGCGAAATAGTCAACGAACTTTCCGCAACGATAGATCTAGAGTCGACTCTCATCAGAGCCGAAGCGCTCTTCCGCCGTTTCCAACGCACCGTCGAGGCAATTGACAAAAAATCCAATTTCCCAGCCCCTAAAATCCGCCAACGCATCTCGACTACCAAACCCACCTCCCCTAGTTCATCCACGGCCAATGCCAACACGTCCTCCGTTGACACAGTATCTGCAAGCGGTACCAATTCTAGCTCCCTAGGCCAAAGTTCAACCCAAGCGCAAGGAGCAGATAAAGGCAAAGGCCGACAGAGTGGGGAGTTGGAGGACCAGAGACCAAAGATTATCTCTCCGGAGTTGAGGGAGTTGTTAAGTCGCAAGGTGGAGGTTCTGCCAAGGAAGGTTGTTAGGAAGGAGGGGGAGGGGTTGAGTAGTTTGAAGAGATGAGTGAGCGAGTACTAGTTGGGAGTTCTTGGACTTGGGATTTCGGGATTAGGGATGTAGGGATGGATGGAATTAGGCATAACATAGGAATATCATAAGAATACGGAGCGAGGTAGCTTTGTTTGTTAGAAGATTAAACGCGTACCAATAGACACGCGGTCTTTCTTTTTACAATTTGAAGCAGCGTATTCAGTCTTTATCAATAAGCCAAGTACTAGGTCGCAGATGAATACACTTGTGGCAAAAGTTCAAAAGCGATAGAGTGCTCGTATTTCCGTATCCACAGAGCCATAGGTAGTAGTAGTAGCTGGGAGGCGGAGAGGGAGCAAGTAGTTTATTAGTTAATAGCATAAATAAGCCGGCCACATATTCATAGTGCATGTAGCTGATCCCCCCCCCCCCCCCCCCTTCCACTTCTACTACTATTGCAGCGACATGTAATAAAACCTCTATATTTCCCTCTTAAGAAATATAACAGCATGTAAGGATCAAAATGATAGGGAGTCACAACTCGTAGTATTTCGACAAGCTACAAGCTACTCTAGAGATCTAAGAAGTTTAGAGTGAAAACCCTTTAAATACATAACGTGAACACTATTCGGAAAGCGAACCGAAGTGTCCACGTGGGTCCATGTGATTGAATCCTGACACAGTATTAGCATTTGAAATTCACATTCCACTTCCGATTTACAGGGAGTGAGTATTACTGAATTACTCACTCAATCTCTTCCTATCACGTACGTTCACTTCTTCCTATGTTCAGCCTCCCACGCCGTCTGTTCATGCTCCCGCATCGTCTTCACCGCGGCCTTCATCTCCTCATGTCCTTCATCGTCGCCCGGCTTAACGCCATACGACATGTCAAAATGATAATGGCTCTTATGGCCACCGTCCTTGAACCACTGCGCTTGGCTCTTGTCTTTAGGTTGCGTTTCGGCCGCGGCGGCGCTGGTTTGGTCGGATTGCTTAGGTGGCATATTGAATGAAGTGTCGGTTTTCTGCAGTGGCTAGTGTCACAGCTCGCAATAAGGAACCAAAGAGAGGTCAAAGGAGGTGGAAGGAAGAATGCTAGTAATAAGCTCTTCAAAGACGAGAATACCATACTAAGGAGGGAAGAAGGGAGGGGAGGCCATCCCTTCTTATACTAACTAATTCACACAGGCAGGTAGCGGGAATAGGTGTGAGTTGTGACCCTGACTGAATTCACATAAGGTCGGCAAGGGAATAGTCATTACTCGTACACCGCCTGTATTCACATAGGGGTCGGAATACCGGAAGGTGGAGGCACGTGCTCCCGGAACGTGATGCTGCAGCATGTCACTGGCCTGTGACAGCTAGGCTTTTTGGGTGCGATGGAAATGTGGTGTGGATTTGGGTATTTGAGGTTATGGATGAGGCAGGCAGTGAGTAAAGGTCCGTTGAGAGGAACGGGTCAAGAGCTCTTTATAGTGGAAGACTTACGGAACGTCGAAGACTGTCATGTGTTTTACCCTGTAATACTTTAGCTTGCTTCTTAATATCAAAAACTGCCAACTAAACCTCCTTATCAAGTTTAACATGCCATTCAAGGATAAAGGCTAATTTATTGATTAGTATATGACCATCTAAGTCCATTCACCACCCACTTACTTCCTTGAGCCATCAAAAGAGATAAGCCAGCCAAATCATTGTTAGCGATATATGCATTTCCACATCTATTGATCCTACCTAGGTAGGAATCCCTATTCCCCAAAACAGTCTATCTACAACCCACCCTATGTACCTTAACTATCATTCTCCCGTGCAGGCGCTTAACAATTCCATGCTACGCAATATGATGCAACGCTCCCAGTCCAATGCAGTTAACACCAAACTCCATCTATCTACCCAATGCAAGCTACACAACCCTTTCTAATCAATCAATCCATTAAACTCCTCTGCTCTTTCGCTGCCGATGGCGCACGTGTATGTTTCTGCGGAAAAGAAGCAGCTTTACTCATCATCTTGGGAAAGTAATTCGCTACCAACATCTCACTACTCTCGTTAGCCACAATCTCATCGCATCGAATCCCTAACATTCCCATTTCCTTCCACCCCAAACACATCACCAGAAGACCGAACGCGGGGGAAAGGGAGAAGACGAAACTTACGTATAAAAACTATGATCCGCCGAGTGTTCCTTCACCAAATTATGCGCCAACTCATGCGCGCAAACAATCCACCAATACGCCGCACCCGCCACGCGATCCTTCCCATCATGCAGCTGCAACCAAAACCTAAAGTTAAAGAAAATACTCCCACTCGCATTAAACGCAATCGTGCCACCGCTTTCGTCGTAGAAGATATGAACAGCTTTGCGCGGCAGCGTATACACGTCTGCGACTTCGTGGAGCAGGGAAGCGAAGCTGTTGAGGGATGAAGAGTGTGAGGAGATGAATTCCGTGTGGGAGACGGAGAGGGTCTTGGAGACGAAGATTCGGGTGCCGTTGGAGGCGTCTGTGAGAAAGGTTATGTTTTGGGACGGGGTTTCGTCGCAGTAGGAGGCCTGTTCTTTGATTACTTGCTTCGAGGGGGGCGAGAAGAGCGTCGAGGAGTCGTGGGCGCGGGAAGATTGGATTGCGTTTAGGAGGTTCTGCTGTACGGCGGCGGGAGAAGAGACTTTTTCTGTTGCGGACTTCCCGCCGGAGGACTTGTTGGCTTGCTCGTAGGTGGGTGGGTTGTCTGTCTGCTGCTCGTGCTCGTGCTCGTGATCGTGGGAAGAGGAAGGACCGCTACCGCCGAGGAGGTTTTGGAGTTGATCATGAGCTTCTCCGCTATTGTCGAGGCCTAAACGACGACTGAGACCTGCGAACATGCCACGTGATTTCTGTTTAGGAGGCGATTTCGGGGCCGGAGAATTTTCAGGAGAATCCGACCCAAATGAACCAGGCATAGAAGGCATCTTGGACTTGCGGCGGGACTCTTTAGTAGTATTGGTCAATGCGAGTTCATTTTCTTGGGACCATTGCTCTTGCTGGTCCTTAAGCGCTTGTTGCTCTGTCTCCAGTTGCTTCCGACGTTCTTCTTCCGCGATCCTCTGCTCAGCAGCTTTGGCTCTCAAGATTCGTTCGACATTGTAACCACGAGATCGTAACTCATACAAGTTCAGCTTCAGAAAAGTCTCGAATGACATGCATGCTTGCTGACTTGGACGGTCCAGAAGGATCTTACAAATCGCTTGACTTATCTGGAATACATCATGATTGCCTGGTGTTACAAGTAAAGTATAGCTCTGATGTCGTTCGTGTGTGCAAGCTGCGGAACGTTTCTCCGTATGGGACAAATTATGGCCACGAAGCGATCTCCTCAACTGAATGGAGCTAACAACTTGAACACTGAGATTCTTGTCGAGCCAGCGGCTGTCATGCTTGATCTCCTTCTGGTCAATTTCATGCAAGAAGAGTTTTGAGCGCTCGAGGACGTGGCTACGAAGCTTAATAGCGGATGCCTGCTTTTCGTAGGTTTGACCGAGACGGAGGTCTTCTTCAACAAGACTATGAAGAGTAGACGCACCCAGTGCAAGATAAAATTCTTCAAGTTTGTCGTCTTCAGGAGCGCATATTAACGACCCTTTGAATAATCGATAGCTAATATAATCATCGATCTGTGTGTGGTAAGCAAGGTAGTTGAAAGACAGGGATCAAGTACTTACAACTACGATTTGACTCGGTAATGCTAATTGCCACTGTTTCATGGGAGCATCTTCCCCATCATCAAGGTCCAAGTCGTCATCTTCAGAACCGTTCTGCTCCTGATTTTCTTTAGTTCCGGGGATTTCTTTTGACCCAATGAGGAACTTCGATTGCCTCAACTGTTTGAACAAAAGCTTATCTCGTTTCAGTTGCGGGAGGTCATCGGCCAGCGACCTCAGGAGACCCATGTATTTTTCGGGACTTTTCATGATACCGAGTAAACGCGCTGGCTCCCTAGATACAATGCCCGCTAACTCAAGCTTGGTGGGTTCATGCTTCGAGCCACACTTCAGGAGGAAAGTATTGGCATCATTTCCGAAATCAACAAAATCAAATATTTCGCCATAAGTAGATGACGAGCTACCCAGATAGCACTGTCTCGGCGCCAAGTGCTGTATGTCGGATTGCTTTCCGATCTTCTCACTCGGAAAACCATTTGGTGCTGATTGCCGCGAAGTAACCGGTACAATGCGAGAGTCGGCTATCTTTGCAACATTGTTCTGGCCAATCTCACCAAGACGGCTAGAAAAATAACCGAAAAGTGTTGATCCTTCACGCTTGGTTTGGGGTGGCTTTGCGATGAGTCTATTGACGCACTCAGTAATTGGAGGGTCCATAGCAACTCCAAATTTATTTGCATGGACATGTAGTTCTCTGATCAGTATATTGAAGCCGAGAACAGCACATCGCTCGTTTGTAAAACATTCTGCTGGACTGACAAGGCGGGCCGGATCACCCTGCAATGGTAAGAATCGTCTTTCCGAGGAGCTGATGTCGAAGTTTGCATAGCGGTTGATATGATGATTTGAAATGAAGTAATTCATAGACTTGACTCTGAGCACAGGATCATCAGAATCCATCATGCCAATCAACTCAGAGACAGAAGGAAATGCCCTGATGCCCAGAGTAGACAGAAATCGACCTTCCACACTGCCTTGCCGGTAACTCCCTGGTGGCCCCGGCCACTGCAGTATCGGTAATCGTAATTCTCGCAGGGCATCCTTTGGCTCAAAGAGTTCCGATATCTTGTACAGTCTGGAAGTCCCTTGGGTAGGCTCAAGACCTTTAGGACCAGCTTCGGCGGGACAAATGGGAGTCTCCCGCAACCTCTTCAGATCATCAGGTGGAATGTCCTCCCGTACAGATGCGAGATACTTAATCAACTCCATATGCCGAGTCTTATTCGTTTGCTGACCCTGTTCAGACTCCCCAATCGGTGTAAGCAAGCGGCTGAAGATCGTTTCCAGATCAACAGTCTTTCGGACACCAATGGCGGCAAAGAACTTTTCTTTCACGCCTGGACATGAAGTGACAATTGGTAGATCATCAAAAAGCTTGACGCTTGCGAAGAAAGCCTCCCCTGGTTTCTTCATACCGAACTTCGTCGGCACAATTGTCATGGGTTTCAGAACCGACACAACTGTCTCCTTGGAACTTACACTCAATCCGTCCCATGCTTTCGATAATATTAAGAGGATTTGGGCAGCAAATCGTACGGAGCTAGTGAGGCTCTGATCGGCGGACCTAGAGGCGTTGGTTTCAATGAGGAATCGTAGCCAGGGTACGATCTCAAGAGGTTCCCATCCTAGAGCTTGCAACTCATGTATAGGGGACGCTTTGGTAAAGTGGAATGGAATGGTGCTTGGTGGAATAGGAACTTCTGCCGGGATCTTGTTGACACTGAGATAATTCTTAATGCTGCCCAAAGCAATAACATCACCTTGTTCGTCGACATCTCCAGTCATCGCAACCGCAACATCCAGAAGAGAGTGGATTGTCTGCCCGCTGATATCGCCTGTTGCGGCTTTGCGACCCGCCCATGTGATAAATTGCACCAGTTGCTCTTTCGTTAAAGCTTTCGCTCCCAGCTCTTGCTTGACATCGTCTATGGTAATTTCTGTGACGAGACCAAAGTCTCTGAGCTTGGTGACGAATGGCCCGCCCACTAAAGCATCTGGAACTACGGGAATGCCCTCGACAAAACCACTGAGATCTTCTGTAGCTAAACGCACCTTTGTTGTAGGCAAAATCCCCCGGGTGCTGAAGATCTCAATAGAAGGTTTCTTGTAAGCTGTCCAAAAAGCTTCCTCGATGATTTGCGATACTTGTGAACTCGGCGTTGACTCCCCGAAAGTAAATGTTTTGAGCGTATGAAGGGCTTCAGGCATAAACTGGGCAATCTCAGTCTTTGAGACTTTGGTTCCATGCCCAGCTGCTTCTGTGGCACGCTTTATCTTGAAGGAAAGATCTGCCATCTCGTTCGAGAAAGCAAGTCTAGCCATAATACCAGCAACTCGGAGCATCTCCCGATTCCAGGTTACGACCCATCTCGCATTCAAATCGATCGACTCTCGCTCAACGGTTGGAATGACGGAGGGAGCCGATAAGTGCATGCCTGCGCCAGTGGTCTGATGCGTTGGAAACCCGATAAAAATACGACCGCCAGGCTTCTTGGCTGGAAGAACAGATGCGAACACATCTACCAGCTCTGCCACATTGTCATCTTTAGAAGATGCAGCCTGCTCATCATAGGAAGATGTGAGGATTGCAAGCTTTGTGGTTTTGGGAGGTGGCTTCTTGGTCGCTCGTTCCAGTTCGCTTGCAAATGAGGAACTAACTGAGGTTTTGACAACAGCAGTCATTACTCGGAGGAAGACGTTTGCCGTCGTGAGGTCAGTGAGAGTTTCCGAAACAATATCCTGCAAGGCCTTTTCATCCCGCATTGCTTTTGTCTTCAGTTGAGCATGGCTTGTGCTTGATGTGAGCCTGCTGAAGAAAGAACGTAGAGAAGGCATGTCGTTGTTCCCATAGGGACTGTCGTAACTGGTCCCCTTGGGTAATGCTGGCATTACAGGTTTCCATCCAACAACATTCATGAATATTGCATCCATTTGTACACTCTCTCGATCCATACTGGTGACCTTCATCAGGCCCTCTTTGGTCGTCGTCTCAACATCTCTAGCAATAGGCACAGGGATACTGGGCGAAGCCTTCTTCTTCAAGGATATGATCTTCCAGTCGTCCACGTAAAGCTCGATATTTTCCAAAGCCACGAACGTCAAACTTGTTGCCAAGAACTGGGCTATAGAAAGGAGATTCGGCATAGGGGTTGTATTGTTTCGATAATCTAGAACGAAGCTAGTATCCGGATTCCCTTGTTCAGCTGGGAGCTGCAGTCGCCTGGTAAACAGCGAGTTGCCCTTCCAGTAAAATGCCATGGCTTCATTTCCCGAACTGACAAAGGGCTCCTCACAATCTGCGAAGACACTGTAGAACCCCACCCCAAAAGCTCCAATCTTGGTTTCGTCGGGATTTCCCTCCGCAATCCTCTTCAGCCTCGCCCAGTCATTGGCCCCAAACGCCTGTCCATTGTTCGTGACCAGCAGTCTTCGTAATGTGTGATTTAGCAGGACGTGTTTCAGGATATCAGACTGGTTTGTCGTATTCGACAGAGGAACATTCGCGGAGGGCAAGGTCTCGAACTTGATGGCCACTCTGGTCGCTTGGGCATCTGCTGCATTTTGGAGTAGCTCTCGTAGAGTTGTCCATTCTCCGGAATATCTGGCAAGCACCTTGTCGATCAGGGCGCGTGTATTAACCGTGACGGCCTCTTCGTCGTCTCCATCCTTCAGGGCAGCCGCCCTCAGCTTGGTGAAATCCATCCTGTATTGTACAACTACTCCAATGGAAATCAAATAATGTAGCCTGTTCTACAACCAAAGTATGTATGTTTTCGAAGACTGTCGTATCATCGTAGGAAAATCGCAGGACTCGCAGACGGAGGAAGTATAGTCGAAGAGTTGGGTGTTGTGTTCTCCGTGAATCACCAGAATAGTTTGTGGTTGTGGCGGGAGGCTGACAGAAAGGGAAGGCTGAACCTGAGACGCGGATCTTGTATTAGGTAATACTTCGAGAGTCTACTAGAAGTATCCAGGGAGTTTAGTTGAATAATAATCCAGTCAAGTTGCAGAAATACTCTTGAAGCAGAAGACCTATTACTGTACTAGTACAGTACCACCAATGCGTGCAGTGCAAGGCAGATATAGATTGTGTTGGTACTAGCCCGAGTCTCTTTGCAAGGTCAACAGTCGGACTTAAGAAGCTCAGAATCCCCGGATCTAGTACAAATGCAGTAAGCCAGCTCCTTGTAGGGGAGGCTGCAAATATAGTATATTAAAAGCTGGGTTATCAAAGTACAAAGTTATGTACTGATTTTATAAGAACAAATGTCAAGGTAGACAAATAAGTAAGGGGGTGGGTGTATTGAGTCCCCCCTGAGTCTCCGAAAAGTCCAATCATGTGACAATCCTCCAAACCCTTCAACCTTTTTCCTCGAGACCTCAACTTCCTCAATTTGCCGTCAATTTGAATCATAAGAAACAAGTCTAGGATGTTTTTTTTCTAAACTCTAACCTTAATCTTCAACCCCACCTGAGCAGCTCTCGAGAGGAAAGCAAAGAAAGTCCCAATCAGCAGCGCAACGCCCGTGAAAATAATAAGCCCCGAATAACCGCCATGCTGATTCTTCTGTATTGCTCCTCCTATAGGACTTCCGATCAGCACGCCAACCGATGAGAAGGCATACAGAGCACCGCTTCTGGCACCCAGCTGGCTGATGTGTCCGAGCTTAGCGACCATGGCTGGGATAATCGATAATGTGCAACCAGATGCAAAGCCGTACATAACCGCATACACGATAATGGGCGCGTTTGCAGCGGCGGGCAGCCAGAGGGCGAGAGTCATGATTGCTGCGAATCCTGTGAGGACAATCATAACGTTGAAAACACCAAAGGAGTCGCCTAAATGAGCCGGGAGAATACGGCCAAATGTTCTATTCCACTTGTTAGTATGCCCAAGATTACTAGTAACGTTTGGGGTAATAATCACGATGCCGCGTTCAATATTGGGACCAAATAGCTCGCCAGATCTGTTGACATGCCTGATGCTTCACCCTGGAGGATAATGTAGTTAAACGGAAGGAAACCCCCAACGTAAATGAAGAAAGCTCCCAGCGCGAGTAGTAGAAAGGGCTTCTCCGTGAAAGGCTTCACCATTTCCATGACGTTGAACGGTCGACGGGCTGGCGGTAGGCGAGACTTAATGGTGAGATTGGCAATAGTAAGGAGACCCAGGAACAAGAAGCCGACCGCTCGCATTGTCCACCCAAACCCGATGTGGGGTATGAGCCGTTGAACCATGATGGGCAGAACGACACCGCCAATGCTCGAGCCGGCGGTAATGATGCCAAATGCCAGTGCGCGGTGTCTGCGAAACCAGGTCCCAGCGGCTACAATTACTGAAATGGGCGTTAGCCATTATTCAATTTATGCAGGTTTGAAGATTGTGTACCTGGGTAAAAGAGGAAACAGCACCCAAGTCCACTGCATACGGCTTGTGCGAGGAAAATCTGATAGAACTCAGTGGATAACGAAGTCATCATTATCCCAAAGACATGTAGAAAAGAGCCTAGTAAAATTGGAATCCGTGGTCCCATTTCGTCTGTCATTTTCCCAGCAAGAAATCCCTTGGAGTGAAAGTTAGCATCTTGTAAAGTCTTGATGCTTTGCTCGTCATACCGGGAAGAACAACATGAACGATTGGGTTGAAGGGATCCAGGCGATGGTACTCGAAGAGTAATGTTTCAATTGATTATGTTCGTAGTAATTTTGAAAGACACCAATACCTTTCTGACATTAGCAAATCGCACAGCTGTGAGATATAGTTAAGTCCTCACAGTTGATCCAGCCAAAGCCACAGAATACCGCACAGAAACCCCCTACAACAACCAGCCAAGCTTGCAATCCACCATCGGGAAAGTCAGTGGGGTTGGGTCCAGTCGGTTCTCTTTTCAATACTGTCTCAGGGTCTGGTCGTGTCTCTTCTTCCATTTCTGGTTCTGGCTCTGGTTTAAAGTCGTTTATGGCATCCACTTTTGAATTCTCCGACTGATCAATGGAAAGACTGGAATCACGATGAGGTGATTGCCCCGACTTATGGTCCATGATAAATGGAGGTGGGAACAGCAAACACAACAAATGATGAGAGGAAGTAGCTGGGAGAAAGCTGATCCCAGACCAGATGGCGAGCCTCCTTTATGTACCTAATGGTAGACATCAAGAATCACGGTGGATCCCTACTCTGATTGATAGATAAGCAAAGAGGTGGAACTGAAACTTCACAACCCCCTGCAACATACTCGCTGGATTGTTCCCAAAAGGGTTCTGTCGTGGAGTCTACAGAAACCCCAACTTTAGAAATTGCATGTTTTTTCCGCTGAACCACAAATTAGGGACAGATGATGAGTAGTGCGGCGTCCGCTTAGAAAGCGTATAAACCTTGTCGTAAATTCGGAAAATGCTGCCAAATGAAGATTAGCGCCACATCTCCACCAATCTCCTGCGCTGTTTGGAGTCAATGTGCATGGGCCTAAATGTCATCCAATTCATACGGTATGGTGGTGACCTTCCTTGACTGGACTTCGAAGTGCGATCACACCAAGATAACAATTGTGCGCGGGCTGCAGCACTTATCCAACTCTCAATTTGCGCCTCATAACTTCAACCGGCATGGTAGTTGAACTCCGAGTCCCAGCAATCTACAGTATATGAAGTAATGGCTAACCGTTCGATTCTCAACCCAAGGTGGCTTCTCGAGCCTGCCACGATTGCAGAAGACGCAAAGTCAAAGTGAGATAGATATATATCCGGTCTTTTGAATTCGCTTTCCCACCCATACTGACCTTACTTAGTGTGATTACCGAGTGCCAACGTGCTTCCGGTGTGAGAAAGCCGAAATTGCTTGCCAGGGCTACCAACGCGATGCAATATTCGTGAACCGGACTCCTGAAAACCTCTCAATTACAGCACTCTCAGTGCTCAAGCAAAACAATATTGACCTCCACGTATCTCGTGATTTTGACCAAACCCTACACCTACTAAACTCGCAAGTCCAGAATCCTATAGGTCCACGGACACAGTTCCGACTTCAAGCCTTGGAACTCCTGAAGAAGCTCTACTTGCCACAGCCGAGTCAAGCCGATATAAGAGAAACGTCTCTATTTTCTTGGCTCCAAATAATCTGCGAGCTTGAGGGAATAAGCCATGCTCTGGACTATTCGCTGCTCACTTTTTGTGTGATACAGGTCGCCATAACAAAATCGGGAAGCGTTGGTATTGACGAGGCATTGCAAGTATATAACGATGCTCTTCAGATACTACAAGTGGAAATACAAGACATTAGTGCTGGACAAAGTGACGAGATTCTAGCTGCTATCTCCGTGCTTTCCAGCGGCGAGGTAATTCTATCATTGCCATTTTCTCTGTATACACTACAAAGCTCTAACAGATTTAGCTATTTGTCTGCCCGCTTGATGATTCCTGGCGCGCTCATGCCCATGGCATTTCAGAAATCCTTCGCATTCGAAATGAACGCATGGATTCCCCCTCGCCGCTCTGGCCAAGCTTCTGCGCTCGAATCCGAGTTGTTCTTGTACGCCTACTGGCTTTTCTGAGGTAACCACGCTGACCGAATTCATAGCTGCTTGATTCTCTTGTGAATCGCAATGCTAGATCAATGGCAATCTCTCATTGCCGCCAGCTCATGTCCACGAGCGCAGCACACGATTCGTTCCACGGATTAATGGACGTGGCTTGCGAAGTGCCTGTGCTCTTTGAAAAGTCGGAACTACTCATAGCCACTCACAACATATCTGGTGTGCTGCCCGAACAATGGAGAACGAGTCTCTTCAAGGATTCTCTTATCGTACTCGAGAAGCTCCATGATCGGCACGAGAAATACCGAAATGCGATTATGAAAAGGCTTTATTGGGCTATGCCATCAACCGTTTACAACCCAGCAGATGATCTCTACAATAGCAAATTATTCCCCTTTTCCCTCCACTTTGAAACCCTAGAAATTGCATCTCAAGTGGTTTTGTGGTGGGCAATAATGCTCCAACTTCTATGCAGTATGATAGATATCTATGAACACTTTTTCGGCATCTCTATCCTCTCGCCAGCATTTGATCATCATTCTTTGGAACTAGAAGAACAAGGACTTCTTCTCAACACCAGATTCCCCACCATATCTTCAGTCAAACAAGAAGCCGACAAGCTATCCCGCTACCTCTGCCAATCCATCGAATACTGCCACAAACTCGAGAACGGAACCAGTGGTCCCCAAATGACGACCTACGCGCAATGGATCCTGAAATCGTACTTTCGCCGTTTCCAGTATGAGCGTGAACTTGTATGGACTTTGAATATTAAGAATATGAGTGGTGTGGGTTTCCGGAAGGGGATTGAGTTGATGGGCTTTGAGGATCGCGCGAGTCAGTTTCCTTTCGGATAGGAAGGCTTCTTTGCGGCTTTTCAATGCATTTTTCTAAGTCGAATAGAATGCCGGACTAGCTGAAGGCACCGCTCTGGCTGGAACAAATGGCTCTGCTTCACTGGACCACAACTCTGTATCAACATTACATCGGATTCTGGTACCGCACATCGTGCAGCCCTTTCAAATCATTCGTTATTCTCCCATCTACTCAATATGGGCTCGTTAGCCGGTGGTTCGCGATATGTTTCTTCGAATCACGTGAGGGCAACATGAGATACAAGATTCGACTGACACTCGCGAGGATCATCGGATCCATAGTCCGACTCACAGGAAGCGCGAGATCTACTGGTATGATTTTGGGCAATCTTGGCTGCCACGATACCAATACATCATTTATAGGAGGCTCAAGTCTTCTCTAGACGGGACTTGTAGCCAGAGGGCTGTGTAGCTGTGACCTTCCCCACCAATTGGGATGGACCAGCCTTACCCGATAAAACCGCGATATACGACAAGCCGAATAAAGAAACCTGTACTGATATCATACATCTGCCGTCCGATACACATGTACCTAATCCGAGCCATGCATCTTAGGTAATCCTGTGCAGAGGAACTGGGCAGCTCCACATTCCAGTCTCGGCGGTTCATGAAAGGCGATACATATATCTATAAGCAAAGGGCCAATCCTATATCTCTTCTCACACGTGGTGGAAGAATCTATGTTTTTAGGCTGTCGTTCTTGCTAATGACGCGCTAGACTTTAAGTGCATGTATGCATCTGTATTTGTGATGCTGCTTGATATGAGACATTTAGTTGGTAGCCTGGCCAGACAACGGACAGGACTAATGTTGCTAGTTGTTGTAGGGAGGGAACCTGATACCGGCGTTGTGGAGAGACTCCCTTGACGCGTTGGGTAGGTATGAAGGATGAGAGGCGCGCCTTTGAACTTAAGAGTTTAGAAGATAGTGGTTGTGGTGGCGTAAAAAGGATCGGGGACTAAAGGACGATACCTAAAGACACGTATCAAAAGTTTATCTGTCAGAATTATCATGACACTTCATCCCAACCCAAGAATCAACTCATATTTTATAAATTCTTCTTTCTCCAATCCAAAAACTCTCCTCTAGCATCTTCCAAAAACCCCCCCCTCCATCCATCCATCCCACATACCTTCTTAACACTAATAATCCCATCAACACCTACAATAACAACACTCACCTCCCTTCCACCTCCATACCCCTGTCCCGGAACTGACCCATGAGCCGCTCGCAAAACGAGTGCTGACTGCTTGATTACCTCGTTTGTGCTGACACCAGCCACACCGCGGCTAGCGTGGTGTGCACCACTTCTATATTTAGGTAGGCCTTGGGGATGCTTATGCATATCCCTCCTGTAGGGCTACAGTCTAACATACCATGGCATATATTCTGACTTACTACGTAAGTTGATTAATGACGAAGGGTAACGAGGCGCGCTAAGCGCTTACTAGAAGGCAGAACGACCTGGGTAGATAAGCCAAGGATTCATCCTTCGTCTAGCGGGCTGCTAGTGTGGAGGGAACAACACAACCGCGGACTCTAGGCTAGGATCTGACTTATGGTTTCACCATTATATAAATATATAAATATATAAATTAAATAATCTGTATAAAAGAGTGTATTGTAGAATGGATGATGATCCAAGTTCAGTGAAGTGTCCGATTTTATAAGGTATGGTACAGTACTAGCTGCATACCCCACTTCACGTGACAGCCCGTTTGGTCCCCACCACACTAGGAGTAGGAGGGTTGCGATAGAAATAGCGCGGCTGTTGCGATTGCGCGTACCTGTTGTGCTTTCCAACTTTTCTGTGATCTGCAGTAAGCGGCCAAGCCTTAAATGCTACATCCAATTCGGAAATGAGTGGAAGCCTAGAAGTTTGTTGAGTAAAAATCACAGGAAGAAATTAAGACACCGGACTGGGGGAAGTGGGTTCATGAAACGTGCAGATATGAAGTGTCTAATTTGAAAGTTCATTGAAGTGCTAGAATCCAGACCCGTGGAAAACCAAGCCTACTACCCTGGTAGGCTCTTCTGCAAATGCAGGTATAAACAAACCCAAAAACTCCAAACTAAACCGTACACAACTTTCCACCCGTAGTCGTAAAGAGTCCTCACATCATATCTCAAACTATTCACTATAATATTCCTCTCTTAATCATTTATGCCCCCCAGTAGCCGCGCTTGGCATATTGGTATTCACCAGGGGCAGTCGTGGAAGTGGTTGGGTGCTGAGCTGAACCGCTGATTGTGGAGGATTTAGATGCAGAGGCACTGGGGCTGCTGGAAGAAGTCTTGCCGGTTCCGTAGGCACCGGTTCCGGATGGGGTGCCAGTGCTCTTAGAGAAGCCAGTTGAAGCAGTGGCGGCGCTCAGGAATTCAGGGAACTTGGTACCTGGGTTAATGCCGAGAACCATACCCTTTTGGCAGTGAGTTCCCTTGGGCTGTGCGCAGTAGAACCAGAGGGGCGTAGAGACGCTGACGACGAAGTCTACGGTTGGGAGAACACCGGTGCGGCTCTGGTTGTTAAAGTGCGTGAATCCGGTATCGAAGCCATCCTTGAGTGGCTCGCAAGGCTTTTGGAGGGTTGATTGCGTGACGGTGTGATTGGTGCTGTTGAAGTCGAATCGGATGATATCACCAATGCTAGCAATGATTTGATTGTCCTTGTACAGGAGTTTGCCCTCGGCGCCGACAACTACGTTGTGGACCTTGGTGCTGTTGGATCCACCGCCGGGAGTGGAGGTAGAAGTTGAACCAGCAGACTTGGATTGAGTCATTGTGCCGTTATATCCGCCACCGGGAATCCAGACAGAAGTTGAAGTAGGAGGTTGCGAATAGGTGGTTGGTGGCGCTGGTATGGGTGGTGTCGTTGTTGGCATTTGTCCGCTGATCGTGGAACAGATTGTTGTTGCTTGACCATTGATGATGGTAATATTGATGTTGATGACAACGACGGTGACAGTAGTCTCCTCGTAAATCGCAACAGTGCAATCCTTGGTTGGGCTGGATCCCACAGGATAGACCCAGACAGAAGTTGCCTTGTAGCTATAGTCTACGGAGGTTACCACAGTGCCAGATGTAGCGACATATGGGGGAGCGATTGCACCCGACTTTGAGTTGCCGACGTAAGTTGATGGAGGGCCGATATATGTTGAAGAAGCTGGAATATAACTTTTAGAACCGCCACCGCCAACAATTGTGCCACCGGATGAACCATAGCTTGTGGCGCCCTGATTGTTATATGATGCCGGAGCGGTAACGGTAACGGTAGCGGTAACGGTAGAGCTAGGAGCTGTGACGGTGGAAGTGACTGTGACAGTTTTGTTTCCATATGAACTTCCACTATATGAACCAGTAGCACATGAGCCAGGGGCTGTGACCGTGATTGGAGAGCAGGTATTAGCTGATGCCATACCAAGTATGCAAGCAAGGGCAGAAATTCCAGAGACCTTCATAATGATGAAAGGTAGCAGCAGATGTGGAAAGGCCCAAACGATGGTATCAAGGAAAGGAAAACACAAGACCTTATTAAAAGAGGATTGAGATGATAATGAGATGAGAGATAAGGTTCCAGACCATCGTCGTCTTATTATATATCGACATTTTCACTGTTATGTCATCTCGTACTGCGCGATAGAAATGGAAATATTATTATTAGCTGAAGATCGGAATCCTCCCATCCCAGCCGGCAAGAATATTGCGGGGGCTGTGTTCTAAGCCTTGATCCTCTGGTGCATTCTCGAATAATATGACTGAGAACAGCGGCCGAATCTAGGTCGGTTGAATTAAGTGGAAATTGGGGCTTACTAGAGAGGTGATGCTGACGGAAAGTATCTTTCGCGAGCTACCTAATATAATTGGGGGGTTGATACTTAACACTCGGAAGAGGATGACAGAAGGAGCCAGCCGTCAAGCGATGTAAGCGCAGGCTTATCTTTATGGCCAAGAAAGGTTGGAATCAGGCGCCTAATATTATGCATGTCCCATTTATCGTTAAAATATGAAAATATTAGTAGAGGGCACAGGCTACATTCATTTAAATTAGCTTTTCTTGGAAAAAATTTTAATACAAGATAAGTAATAGTAAAAAAGTATAAGTTATACTTATAACTTCGTTTTGATATAAAAAATGTTTATTTAATAGAAGTAATATAAATACCTACTTTCTATATATTGGTTTCACCTAATGCATTAGGTTGGCCTAGTAATCTGTGATTTTCATGGTTGCATTTCTAGGTGTAGAAGAGGTTCTATCTAAAGCTGCAGCGATGTGGTGATAGCCTCATCGCTGCTTAGTTATCGAGACTAATGGTCACGTGGTACACGTGACATATATCCCAACACTATACTTGATATTATAATGCTAGCTAACAAAGTGGTAAGCAGATTTAACCTTTACTTTAGTTTCCCCTTATACAATATTTATGGCCAATAGAGAATATATAGAAATTACGATATTTCTAAGATATAATATGCAAGGGCTGAGATAGATAATCGAAACTAGAAACGGCATGCAGAATCTGCCTGGAGTATCTCTAAGGATTGTGACTTGGTAACAGCTGTACTATTTCTTACAGTCCGTAACCACTTGTTAAGGTGCAATCTAATACATCGGATGTTTTCTGCCTGTCATCCTTCTACATTGAGGGCTCACAAATCTCCTACAGACTTTAGGGCATCAGACGGCCAGTGGCCTCTGTATGCAAAGGGCTACTTGCGGGGTTGATCATTCAAGATAGATCTGCTCGAAGATAAAGATCTATATTCGACGTTTCAAACTCATGTCATCTTTCAAATATCTTTTCTAAATAGTTCAGCCAATTCTCACCTAATACCTTCCTCATCTTATCCTCAGACCAGCCTCTCCTCGCCATAGCCTCCGCGAGCTTCGCGCGCTGCGCTAGAGGCCCCAGAGGCTTCACAACCTTCTGACTGCCCCAGGGTGTTAATTGTCTCGCATACCCCTTATCCTTGTTACACCACGCCATAAAGTCGCTCGGCCGTCCGTGTCCCTCGCTCGCATCACTACCAATGCCTACCAAGTCCTCGCCGACGAGTCCGATCACGTAGTCCAGCGCCTCAACATAGTCATCGATGGTGCTGTCGTTGCCTTTCTTCATGTGCGGCCCAAATTGCGACAGGCCGACGAAACCGCCCTTGGAGCCGATCAGCTTGATCAGCTCGTCCGTCTTGTTGCGCGGATGGTCGAGCATGCCGCCGGGAAGGATGTGTGAGAAACAAGGTGGTTTCCCCTCGGGAGCAAATTCAATCACGTCCCGGCTAGTCTGAGGTCCAACGTGACTTAGATCGCAGACGATACCCAACTTGGCCATCTCGGTCACAACCTCCTGACCAAATCCTGTCAGGCCTGAGTCCCGAGGCTCGGTATAGCCCGCTCCGGAATAATTCTGGGTGTTGTACGTCAATTGCATCTTTCTGACTCCGAGGTCTCTGAATACCCTCAGGTAATCCAGCTGATCCTCGATTCCTGCCGTGTTCTGCCATGAAAGCAGAACCGCGGTCTTGCCGTCCTTCTTGGCTTGTCGGATATCGGCAACAGTGTGTGCTTGGACAATCAAATCCGAGTGTTCTTCAAACCACTTCTTCCACTGCACCACATTGGCTATGGCGCCGCGAAAGTTCTCCCAGATGCCACACGTGCATGAGACACCTGTGATACCGCCTGCCTTCCAAGCCTCGAATATTTCGCGCGAGAAGTTGGCAATATTCAAGCCGTCAAAATGAATGTATCGGGCATATATATCACGTGCCTCGGCTTCGGAGACCATCCTGATAACGGGATAGCGCGCGATGACTTGGCTTGGTTGGAAATGATAAGTAAAGACAAGTATCAGAGTTTGAGAGGGCAAGATAGAGAGAGAGAAGATGGCTTGGGGATTATATTGTATTATATTATATTATATTATATCAAATTATGTCTTATTGGTACAAAAAGGACTTGATGAGTCTGAAGGGCGATGGCGTGCTTGGTGGCCTACAGTACGAAGTACGAAGTAAATTCAACACACGAGGCGTCAACGGAGACTATGCCCGTTTGGGTAATTTGCAACGGGGCGGCTCCGCGGTCGGAAATCGATGGATGGCGGGAATGGCGACATCAGTTCTAAGTACTGTACGTAGGTAGGTATGTTATGATTCTTTGATTCTAGATCTTGGAGCGTTTGTCGACAAAACCCCCTGAGCAGAGAGCGGCGTATGTTTGTCTCCATCTGCCTCCACAACATTAATCCCACCGAGTAATGCAACCCGCCATTCACCGCTTCCGCATTACGAAACACGATGACCAGAGCCGTGGCCGTGACCGTGGTAAGCCCGTCGCAGTCTCAGACGAGGAACAGCAACAACAGCCACCACAGCCACAACAGCCACAGCACAAGGCGGGCAAGGCTGCATGTCAACGTTGTCGTCGCCTCAAAAAGAGGTGCAGCAAGGCCGCACCACAGTGCAATCACTGCCTCAACGCGGGCGTCATTTGCTCCCTGGCCGAACGTTCACGTGCGGAGCTGGGACCCCTTGTCGCGCAGAAGGAGAAGGAGAGGCTGGAGGCCAGAATCACGTGGCTGAGCCATTATGTTAATAAGACGCTGCCCCGCGATGCACCCTCCGTAGATCGACTCGAGACGGGAGCCGATATAGGCGGCAAGACTACAAATACGGGTGTATGGACATGGACTCCAGTGAGTAGAGAGAGCGAGCTACGGTCCGATGCGAACCCACACCCGAACCCGAACTTGAGCCCCCGGCCGGAAAGTATAGAAAAAATATCACTACCAACTTCGACGCACCATGGAGATGCCTACGCGTCTGATCCGAGTAAGAGTTCAGCGTCTGACAATGCTACCATCCGCAATTGCGGACCTCAGCTTGTACCAGGAAACGTTGGTATCACTTCATCTCGCCATGCTGCCTCCTCCCCAGAGCATAGGTCAGAGCCGCTTTCTCCGGGTGTCGTTGGCCGGAGGTTTGTCGATGCATACTTTCGCCATATACATCGTGCCTATCCGTTCATGGATCGAGAAAACGTCCTGAGGGATGTTGACGCCATAGGAGATTGGATGAATGAAGGTACTGAGAAGATGCCTACCAAATTATATATGGTTATGGCAATAGGCTGCACGACATTAAGGCGTGTAGGCCAGGTTTCGGAAGACATTTGCTCGAAATTCAAAATCTCGTACCCTACTGTTCTGGAAGAATGTCTATCGAGAAATGACGTTGACTCTGTTGCAAGCCTTCTCCTCCTCGGTCTCCACTCGCTTTTCGATTCACAAGGCATATCACCTTATGTAATCACCGGTATCTTGTCCAGGCAGGTAATGGCCCTGGGTCTGAGCCGTAGCAAGACCTCGATTGGGTCCAGCCAAGAGCTACGCGAAGTGGAAGCTCGCCATAGGTTATACTGGAGTGCGTATACGCTTGATCGCATGGTATCCGCATCCGTCGGCCTCCCTTTCGGGATATGTGACTCTAACGCAAATATCCCCCTCCCGGGTGTGACCCTTGAGGAATATGCATCTCCCGATCGTAACTACTACACGCTCGTGCTGCAAGTCAATCGGCATATAATTTCTCTGCGACAACTTGAAGAGAGTATCTTGCGGAAAATTCAATTCCCCAACTCGTATGCAACAAGCAGACTGACACAGGCTGATCGCAGAGTCATTATCCAGGAATTAAGGACGCAGATTGAAAATTGGTATACTCAGGGTTGTTTGGTGACGCCGATGGAGAGAGATCAGTTGCCCTTTCACAATACGATTCCATGGCTTAACTACCGATACCAAAATTTGCTTCTACTCTTATATACACCATCACACTTCAACTCGCCCATATCGATGGACCATCTACTTGAGTTGCAACGGTGTGCACAGAAGTATATTCAACTATCTGCTGTGCTATGGCAACAACGTCACCTACCTATGAACTGGGTTACGCTGTGCAGGTTCGTAGCAATTGCACCCGTACTACTGTATTGCGTGGTACGGAACGGGGACGGCCTAAATTTTATGAAAGAAGAAGCCATTCTCTGTGCGACAGTACTCGAGGCCTTCCCTAGTCATTGGCTATCAGCCAAACACGCAGCACGAGTATTTCAGAGACTTGCAATGACAAGCAACAGCAACCAAGCAAATGGTCCTCTCCTAGCTGACTTATCTGGCGACCCTGGGACTGAAGCAGGGGCGGGACGTGGAGAAGTGGTTACTCTCGATCAGATCAAATCAGAAACTGAAGATCTCGTCGCTAATCTATTGAGCGAAGCCAGTATGTACGTTGGTGCGATCGATGCCGCTGGAGACCTGGTGAAAGAGAGAATAACAGGGCAATTACTTGATGGGTTCAGAACCGAATTACCTCTTGATACGAGCTGGATGGCTGGAAGTGGAGTCTGGGATGGGGTCGGGGATCTGAGTATGGGGTTCATTTGATATAGGATATATAGAAATAGGTTCGCTGAGCTTGAAACTGCCAGTCTTTGGCACCGGCGTCACACTTCATTTGCTGGCATGGTCACAAGTCAGTCTGTGATTTTCTCTGACCATGTTGGAAATCTGCATAAAATTTCAACTCATTATATATTATATGGATGGTATATCATTCCTGGAACTATGACAGCGCATTCATAACCACCCTAGTCCTCGTCAAATTCATGATAGCCCCTTACTCTTATCACCATCTGTCTGCCCTCTCTATTCCTCGGAGCCAAATATCCAAGTCTTTCAGGGCCACGAGTATTCTTCAAGACTCTGAGCCATCGTGGTCTGCCATTACGCCTACAAAAGAAAAGAAAAGGCACTCTTTATTCTGTATACAACAGCAGACACAACGCTACATTTTCGAGTGGACTTGCTCATCATGTCCCCGCCATCTTCGTGGTGGATGAGCGATAAGAGATAAGGAAGCAACGCGCCTGTGCTCGAGTAGTAGACTAGGACCCGTCTTGGCGTCCGTTGAGTAAGGTTATGTTCCGAGCTCTAGGTCCCTGAATCATGGACATGTGGGAACGAAAACTTTGTTCGGCCAAACAAAATTGAGTAAAGCATGAGCCAAGGTTTCGAAATATCCACTATTTGTACTTCAGAGCTGCGCTAGGTAACCCGACGGGATAGATCTGGATACGGTAGGAGACCATGATCTAGCCATAACCGGCAATTTACGACGGCGGTCCTCCGTCTTTTAAAGCTTGAGAAATTTGGCGATTTGTTAATATCCTGCCCACCAGCGTCAAGATCTTCCCATCCGCCATGTGTTATTACCAAGTACTCCTTAGCGTTGATAACGCCATAGTCGTGCTACGCAGCTTTGATGTCTTAGATATCTTCAGGGTAGGATGCGACGAGCATTATAAGATATAAGAATGCCATGGAAGTATTCATCTACAACCTGTACTTTTGATTTCCAGAGGTCTTCCTTCACATATCAAGATCTCCTCTCCTCCATATCCCACACCCTGTCGTTGATATGTTTCACGAACAGGCCGACTCGGCCATCGTGTCTACAACCCCTAGTACTACCACAGAGGCAGAGCCTCAACCTCAACCTCGTACAAAGCTGCCCTTGAGCAAACGGATCCTTGGAATAGTCTGGGACTCCCTCGATAAAACACCCGAGGAACGCGCTCTCCTTGCAAAGCTTGATTGGTGGATTCTCAGTTATATTTGCGTCGCTTACTTCGTCAAGTATCTTGACCAGACGAATGTTTCCAATGCCTACGTTTCCGGAATGAAAGAGGATCTGGGCATGAAAGGAAATGACTTGAACTACCTTACGACTTACTGGACCATCGGCTACATCATTGGCCAATTTCCCTCTCAGATGGTCATGACCAAGGTGCCGCCTTCTATCTGGCTTCCTACTTGCGAGATTCTCTGGTCCGTCTTCACCATCGGCATAGCAGGCTCTAAAAATGTAGAGACGATTTATGCTCTTCGATTCTTCGTTGGTCTCTTTGAAGCTTCTGCATATTGCGGTATCATGACCATCCTTGGATCCTGGTATACTCCAGCTGAGCTCGGCAAGAGATCGTGTATATTCCAAGCATCATCCAGCGCAGCGCAGATGTTCTCTGGTTATTTGCAAGCAGCTCTGTACGCCGGTATGGATGGACGCGGAGGTCTCGCGGCATGGCAATGGCTCTTCATCTTTGACGGTATCATCGGGATTCCCATTTCCATCTACGGCTTCTTTGCCATTCCCGACAGCCCAACAACTTGCAAAAACAGATGGCTCAAGCCTGCCGAGAAGAAGATGGCGATTGCGCGTATGGAAGCCATCGGACGTAAGCCAGCAAGCAAGGTCACACTTCAGACATTCAAAGACATCTTCACCGCCTGGCCCGTGTATCTTTTCTCCATTGCATTCATCGCCCACGTCCTCGGCATCAAGATCTATTCCTACTTTAATGTCTGGCTCAAATCCACCAAGCGTTGGTCCACTGAGGAGGTCAACTTGATCCCCACCGCCGGCTATGGCCTACAAATCTTCTTTACCTTATCCTATGCCTGGGCCTCTGACGCACTGCGCGTTCGCTCCCCGATCATTGTCTTTGCCTGCGTCATCGCGCTCATCGGCTGTATCATTCTCTCCGTCTGGCCATCTCACAATATTCCTGCCATGATGGCTGGTTGGTTCCTCACCTTTTGCGAGACGGGAGCTGGCGCACTATTCATCACGTGGATCAACGAGGTCCTCGGCTTCAGCCAGGAACATCGAATCATCGTCATCGCTGTGGTTGAGACGATGGCCTTTACTTTCCAGGCGTGGGTTCCTCTACTGGCGTATAATACAAGTCAAGTCCCGCACTTCAAGGTGGGATACCAGCTTGCGGCAATGTTCTTTGCGATAGAAATTGTGTTGGTAGGGGTCATGATATATGCACAGAGAGCGGGGTGGCGTAAAGGAGATCAAAATATGGTTCTTAAGAAGGCGGATCACGAGTCTTATGTTTCCGCAATTGTTAGACATAACTCATCGATCGAGGATAGTAAGATCGTAGTTAGTAATAGTAGAATTTAATTAGTTTTAATATATTACTATAATTTATTTCTATGTATAAGTATATTATTTTAGTTTATTAAGTTTGCTTTTTCTATTATATACTTATTATAAAATATATCTAATATTGTTGGGATATAC